CATGACTAGGGACATGTCATAAAGGCAGGTGATATAAAGCAACTCCCAAGGGAGAATGCCTGAATTCTTTGGCAAAAAGAACTCAGAGGTCAGGAGCAGGCTGACAGGTCTACTTATTTCATTTCCCTCAAATCTGGGCGCGCCTATGATTACTCTTGACCAATAGCATGAGGCAGAAGTGATGCCTGGGACTTCTAAGCCAGGGCCTTAAGAGATCTGGCAGCTTTCTCTTCCTTTCTCTTGCATGCTCTTCCTCCTCTGTCTGACATATTTGAGAAGATCAAGCTATAAGGAGAGACCACATGAAGAGGCCGTGAGGGGAGGGCAAGGCCCTGAGACTACGTGGGGGAGAAGCGAGGAATCCGGCCAACAGTGAGAACTAAGGCCCCAGATACAGGGCCCTGAGCAAGCCATTCCAGCCGTCTCAGCTGAGGCATCACCTGGGAGTGAAGAAGCCATCTTGGATGGTCCAGCCTCAGTGGACAACACGTGGAGAAGAAACAAGCTGTCCCCAGTGTGCTATGACTGAATTCCTGACCCGTAGAATCATGAGAAACAATAAAATGGTGGTTGTTTTAAGCCACTAAGTTTTGGGCTAGTTTATTACACAGTAATAGATAAGACAAACTAGGTCATTACCTGAGAGCATGAATCGGGTGTGAGGGGCATGGGTCTGAGCTCAGATGAGCCTCAAGGCAAAGATGAGACTCAAAGTTAGACAGGCAGGACCATCCAGGGCTCAGGAGTGAGGAGCCAAGAATGCTGCTGTCTGGGGGAGAGACTAGAGGCTGACGTTGGTGTCAAGTTCAAGCACATTTGATCCTTTGAGTCCCACTGCTTCTGTCCCCCTCCTACCCTGGCCAGCCTCCAAAGAAGAGTGACTCTGGGCTAAGACGAACAAGTTTTTGGAATCCACCTGTAAAAGCAGGACATAGAAGTAGAGGTGGCTCCTTGAAGCATTTTCTCTGGAGGCAATAGTGTGTGTATGTGTGTGTGTGTGTGTGTGTGTGTGTGTAGATATCATCAAAGAATTTTCCCCCATTGTCCTTGGGCTCTCTATCTAGAGCCAAAGAATCTTTGTGAAGCCACAAACGTAACAACAACAACATCTGCTGTAATGTATAACCCATACTCAAGGAGTAAATTATGCTTTCAGTTTAGTTTTAAAGGGAGTTTTGTGTTGCACGTGGATTTGTGCAACTCTTTTGGAGGGGCAGCGCCATGCAGAGGGACAAGCACAAGCTTTGAAACTACATGGACGCGGGGTCAAGTTCCTCAACCACTTATGACCTGTGTGACCACGAGTAAGTCTCCTAATCTGGCTGAGCCTTGGTTTTCCCAGCTGTAAAATGGAGAGAATGGTCCCCAGCTGTCAAGGTGGTGACGAGCACTGCAGGGCTGTAGACAATGCTGCACAGAGGAGGCACTGCAAGTGTGGGCTCCCTGACTGCCTGGTCAGAAATAACATCCGTCCAGCACCACCATTCCAGCTAGTGGAAAATGGAGAGCCAAATACGATGTCCATTTACTTGCTGTTCATTTCAGAAGCCTGGCTGCATCCACTCTAACTGGTCCCTTTGTGGGTCTCCTTGTCTGCAAATGTTTTAGGTTGCACAGTATTTTGTACAGTCCACAGGACTTATGTATCCTCAATGCCCCCAACAGTGCCTGGCACATAGTGTGTGCTCAATAAATATTTGTTAAATAAAGGGAGCTATGCAGCCTAAGCCGATTTTAAGGAGTAGCTCCCCAACAGGCCACAGATGAGCAGACACTGCAGTGTTTGAACTTCCACTGCTGCCGTCTAGAACTTCGTGCTAAGGGTGCAATGATCAGACTTCACTGGTTATTTCATCCATGTTCTTCCTCTCCTCTGCTCTCAGAACCCCCCACTGCACCCAGCACAGCTGTGTGTCCAGCACCAGATGACGGATCCTGATTGGTCCAAGCTAATTATGACAATTCTGTTTCTGTTTGCCCAGATTCCTCTGCAGCTAGAAATGACCATGCCCTACTGTGGCCAATGAGATCTAAGTGGAAGTCTGCTGGCCAGGAGAGGTGGTTCTAGGAATATGTTTGCCTTCTTGGTAAATGGAGACAAATGCAGTTGCAGCTGTCCTTCCTCCTTCATCCCCTGAAGATGGACATGATAGCTGGAGCAGAAGCAGCTGTCTTGTGACCATGAGGAAGAAGCCAAGAGAACTGCAGAGAAGCTGGCCCTGAAACTGTTGAGTTGCTGAACCAATGCCAGAAACTGCCTTCCTCCAGAATTCTTGTATAACAAGAATAACAAGTCCCTAAGTCAGAGTAGTCAGATTTTCTTTTACACGTGGCCAAATTAATGCCTGAATGATAACACAGATTATCTAGTTAAAAAGTTAAGGGGGCTGACCTGGTGGTGTAGTGGTTACAGTCATGCGCTCCACTTCAGCGGCCTGGGGTTTGCAAGTTCAGATCCTGGGCGTGGACCTAGCACTGTTCATCAAGCCACCGCATCCCACATAAAATAGCAACAGATGTTAGCTCAGGGCCAATCTTCCTCACAGAAAAATAAACTAAAAAGATAAAATTACATGATGTATGACACATGAGTACAAAGATGTAAAAGAGTTTCAGAGTTGGTATGTTTCACTCATCAAAGGGGTAAACTGGTAGATTAAGTCCAAGAATCTAAACTTTACAGAAGACTGTTTCATAGGAATCTCAGGAGTCACTTGCTCAACTTCTCAATAAAAACCAGAAAACCTGCAACTTTCTTAAAGTGCTAAGTGCCTCATTTTCAAAGCACCAGTTCCACCTGGGGGCTCGTTAGACCTGCAGACTCTCAGGCCCCACCAAAGAGCCACCAAATCAGAATCTGACGCTCAACAAGAGCCCAGGTGATCCACAGACACGTTAGTGAGCTGCACCGTTCTCAGCGGTTCTCAGCCCCGGCTAGACTGTCCCGGTAGTACCCAAATACCCACGCCTGGTCTCCACCCCGAGCAACTAAAGACTGGAATGTGTGGGAGTGGGAGTCCCAACGTCACTTAAAAAAAGTTCCAGTTGATTTCATTACACAGTGAGGCTTAATGAAAACCCAGGACAGACCCTACCACTTAGCAGTGTGTCCTTGGCCAAGTTATCTATTCTCTCTGAATCTCGATTTATTTATCCATCAAATGGCCACAAAATGAAGTGCTTGCTACATAGGAGTTGTGAAGATTAAACTAAATCGGGTAAAGGCCCTAGAGGACACCTGGCACATACAGGTGCTCAATAAATTAGGGCTGCCTGGCCGTGATGATGCCAGGGCTCGCCTGGGGCACTGGCTAGCCGTGCAGCCCGCTGTGCTCTCCTCTTGGCAAGGCGCCACATGGGGGGGGGTGGGGGTGGGAGGTGGGGGGGGGGTGGGATGAGCAGTCCAGGTGATTTCTATCATTAGAAAAATTTGAAAAACACCACCAAAAACGTTAGCTCTCTTTCTCCCTGTCCTCTTTTTGTATTTTATTCCACCCTCAACTTTTTATTTTAGAAAATTTCAAACTTCAGAAAAGAATAGTTTGATGAACACCACATACTCTTTACTAATATTCACCAAAGTGTATTTTACCTATTTGCGTGTGTTCTCACTCTCCACCCACTCGCATGCACACGCAGGCTATTATTGACCCGTGATAAAGTAAATTGCAGACATCGCGACCTTCAGCCCTAGACACTGCAGCAGGCACATACTCCTGCTTGAGCATCGTATCCAAGAAGTCTTACCTGGATTCAACTGTGTCATCTTAAATACAGTCCATATTCAAATTTTCCCTCTGCCCACGTTCCTGATCACTCTTTTTTGAGGGTACCCCTGTCTCTTGAATATCTTTTCTCACTGGTAAGCCTCTCTATTATGGGGACATCTTATTTATTTTTTTGGTGAGGAACACTCTCGCTGGGCTGACATCTGTTGCCAATCTTCCTCTTTGTGCTTGCAGAAGATTGTCACTGAGCTGACATCTGTGCCAATCTTCCTTTATTTTGTATGTGGGATGCTGCCACAGTGTGGCTTGATCAGCGGTGTGTAGGTCCACACCTGAGATCAGAACCCGCGAACCCTGGGCAGCCAAAGTGGAGCACGTGAAGTCAGCCACTATGCCACCGGGCTGACCCCAGGGACATCTTATTTTGAACCAAGTCTGACTCCCTGTCCCTTGTCTTTGTTCATCTGCTGGAGGTATCCAGGTTCTTGTTGTCTGTCCCTAACGGTCCTTGAGATGTCTAAAGATGGCTGAAGAGAGTTTCCTCTTCAGATTTCCCACCCCCATCCCAGTCAACATCCTGGCATCATCCTCTGGGCTCTTTCCTGGTGGTCAATCAATTTGTATGACGTGTGATTCCTAGAACTGAAGACCTATGGTTCCAGCTGACCCCTAGAACAGAGCAGGCTTGCCACCTCTAGGTGGCAGTTGTATATCTTCAAATGCAGCCCATGACCATATCAGTCATAACGGCTAAGCAACTCATCCAGTCCTTGTGCAACTGATGTCCATTGACTGGGATTGATGTGGATAAAGGACTGGAACTAACATATGCTGGGACCATCTAACGTGCCAGGCCTGGGGAGATGGAGGTGGGAGAGACAGAGGCCTGCTCAGGGGGATACTGACTGTAGAATCCTAGTGCCACCAAGTGTTAGCTGGAGACTAAACCTCTCTGGGTCTCAATGTCCTAATTTCTGGAAGGGGATAATATTCCACCTTTCTAGGTCTGCTGTGCAGATGTAATAAGACAGTGTGTGTGGAAGCACTCAGCATGGTGTCTGGCATGTAGGAGACTTCTGATCTGGGTCTTGAAGAATGAATGGCATTTTGGGGTAATGAAAATGTTCTGGCAATTGTTGCACAACAGAGTGAATGCACTAAATACCACTGAAGTGGATACTTTAAAGTGGCTAAAATAGTGAATGTTATGTTAAGTGAATCTTACCACAATCAAAAAAAAAAAAAAAAAAAAAAAAAGAGAGAGAGAATAAATGGAGATTTTCCAGGCAGAAAAGGTGGACGAGAGAGCCGGGAAGCACATTTCAGGCATTATAGCAAGTTTCTGAGAGTGACTGCCCGAGCCCCGCAGGACAGAGCTTGTGGGCACTCCAGTGGAGGCTGTCTCTAGTCCAGGGTAACTTTCAATGGGTATTATGACCTAAGTCATATTTCACTTTATTAGGCACCAAGACGACCTGATTTTGTCGAACACTTTGCAAACTCACCACCAAGGTGAAGTCAGCTCGAGGGGAGTCGGAAGAAGTTTTAGGTAAGTTGAGAGATGGAGCCATGTTGAATTGGCACAGCGGGTCCCAACCTTTCCTGCCTCCTGGTGGGGTGGGGTGGGGGTGGGGGGGGGGAGGTTTAAAGAAACACTGTACCAGCGCAATCCCGAGGGCGGTGCACATTCCTGAATCTTCTATCTGAAGCTCCTCAGGTGACTCTCACATACAGCTGATGCTGAGGACCAGCCTAAACCAGCGGGTTGAAGTCCGCCGTGTCCAGGGCACTTCCTGTTCTGAGCGGCCCAGCGCCCCCGAAGCCCAGAGCCCACCCACCAAGCCGACTGCCCCCGGGAGCGCTCCATTCTTCTTGTCAGAGGGGGCTGTCTGAAGCAACATGAGTAGGAACGGAATAAGGCCCGAGAAAGCACAAATGGGTTAACAAAGCTGATCTTTTAACCAGTTTATTGTATTTTTACAGTAATAAAAATAAATTAGTCATACACAAAAATAGTTGTCATTTTGGCTGAAGAGAAAACAGACTGTATTTACTCACATAATTCACCTTCTATCCTCCTTAAACAATAATTTAACACCACAAGGGTGACATGGAGTCGCTGGAGCATCAGAGGGTTCCTTGCTCCGGGCTGTGCAGTTGCCAGGACAACTCAGAGCTCCGCCCCAGCAGTCCCATTGGGGACCCTGGAGGCGTGGGCAGAGCGGGAAACGCCTCCCCTCCCTTCCAGCCCCTCCCCGTCCCTTCCAGCCCCTCCCCACCCTTCCAGCCCCTCCCCGGCCCTGCCGCCGCCCTGCCTCCTCGGCAGCGCTCACCAAGCCGCGCCCTTACTGCTGCTGGGTCTAACCAATGAGGCCGCACACACAGAAGGGACGAGAAAGGCTCTCGTATTTCCTTTGCCAAATGTTCGGGGATGAGGAGAGGGCGGATTATATGAGCAAATATAATATTTAAGATGGAAAGGTGGCAATCCAGACAGACCTGTTTCAGGTACAATGCCAGGGTGAAAAACCCCTGAACGAGTCGAAAAGCAGAGTAATTTATATTCGATTTTAAAACCCAAGGAATTTGACTAATCAGTATACTAAATTCTAAGTATGGACTTAGAATAAGACATCGTGTAGCAACTTTCCAGGTAGCTGGGTTAGTAGGATCAAATGATTTTACACAAATGTGGATCGCATATGTAAATAAATACCTATAAGGTCCCTTTAAAATTAACATATTCTAAATAATAGAACTATTTTGGTGTAGTGACTCATTCTGCCAATAGAGTTCAGAATACACATTTCCTATAGACATCTTGTATTTACAAAGAACAAAATAATAAGTTATAACAAAGTATATCCTTCTGTCAAACTGAGCCTGGGGATCTGGGGATCAAGGCAGGTGGAAGTTAGTTATGTAACAGAATGGCTTTCCTCTCAGTGAGGCAAAGGGCTCAACGTCTGGAAGATGCTGGGAAAGCTGGCTGGAAGCTCCCCCCCTCCAGTGGTCACGTTTCCTCAGCACAATGGAAGTCTCCCACTGTCACACTGAATAGAACCAGGAGCGTGGGATGGTTCAGGGTGGAGACAATAACTTCGCTCCGGCAAAGGTGCAGGAAAGCAAGGCGAGTTGAGAGAGAGAGAGATGCTATTTGGAGGGTCCTAGTCTAGTCAAGGCTCTGCCCTGATCAAGATGTGTGACCCTGGGCAGGGAACTAGCCATCAGGACGTTTGGTTACAGATCTGTGAAGCAGGACCAGACAGGGCAGCTCTGAGCAATCTGCTAGTGGTTCTTTGAGGTGTGAGGCCACATTCAGCTCAGGGGAGGAGGGCCAGACTGGGTTCAAAACGGCAGAGAAATGGGAAATAACTTCTGCTGTGTACTTGCCATTCCAGGCCAGGCGGATCACTTAAAACTGTACTACTGAGAGAGTTACCAAAGCCCAGACTTGGAAAGGATCTTAAAAGCATGTGGCTCCAGTTGGGTGCTGGAATGCACTCTCCAGCATCTCTGACAGATGGCCATTCAGCCTCTGCTGAGACCTCCCAGTGACTGGTCAGTCACCGCTGACCACAGAGCCTTCTGAAGGCTCTTGGTTCTTCTGCAGAGCTATCTCAAGTCTCTTTTTCTCCAAGCTAAATACTCTCATGAAGTCCTTGTCACTGTTTTTAATAGTCTGCACCCCTCATCAGGATTGAGCATGCTCATCTGAATGCTAAACGTTATCAACATTCTTAAAGTTTCCGACAATAGCAAATATAATATGGTATGACTCTCACCAATGTTTTCTCCTTCTGTAGCCTAAATGTCTCATTTTTTCCCCCCTGTGTTTTCTTTGGGTGGTTCCATCCCACTTTCTTGACTCACAGTAAGCTTAGTCAACTGAAACTCTTACATCTTTCCCATCTTGAACTTGTATACTTTTTATTTATTTATTTTTCAATCCAAAGGGAGGACTTCATGTTGTTCCCTGGTGAATTTCTAAGATCCAGGTTTTGTTCTAGTCTCCTAGATCTTTTCGGATCCAGAACCTGTCACTCAAGCCATTAGCTCTCCAAATTCGTGCCATCCACCAATTTTATCAGTAAGGCGTCTAACTTCCCATCGAAGCTGTATTAAAAATGTTTCACATGGCAAAGATCCAATGTTGGCCTCCGCCTGCCAGGCTAATTTGGGCTCCCTCAGGTTTGGTTATTTAGCCTGTTTTAGGAGAAGTCACGTTTCTTTTTACCACTTATATTTATGTGTTCCACATTAGAAAACTGATATTCCAATTCTAAAATGATTCCATTAAAAAAAAACAGGGCGCCACTAGTTTAGAAAGGTACTAGTAACCTCTAGATTTCTCTCTCTGCCACACAACTTGATGAAAATAAATTAAGCTAGTGTCTCTCATTTTTCATCCCTCTGTAAGGCCAATCTTTGTAAAGGAAAAAGAGTGTTGAATGCTCAACACTTTGAAGATAAGTAAATGATGCATACTGAAGGAAATGAAGAAAAAACCAAACTCCAAGAACCCTGGACCGAGAAGTAAGGCAAAGGGACAGATCTGAGCGCTAGCATCACACTGTAGCTCCCCGAGGGCAAGCACAGGCCTTGCTCATCTCGGTTCCAGATTAGCTGGAAGGTAGTGGGCGCTCAACATGCCTTTAATGAACTGAACTGGCTCCCTCTAGTGGCCGGGTTTACAACATTTTTTTTTTTTTTTAGCGTCACCTCTTTTATACTATTCCTTTTCTATGGGGAGAAATGCAAGTCGACGTGAGGATGGGCAGGGCCCACTGCATTAAATGGCCTTCGCCTAGGCTGCAAGGGGGCACAATTTCTTTCTTAAGTAAGTGAAAGTAAAAAAGAAAACTATTTCTGTTTGGAGCTTTGTTGATTTTGTGAGAAAAACATGTAACAGCTTTAATTCATTTAATTTTAAAATTCAGAGCAGAGAATGCGGCAATCTAGTACATAGGGGGAAAAAAGCAGTATGAAAATGTAAATTTCAGTTCTGCATTATGGCCATTTAAGGGAACAGGGAGAGGATGGACAAGGAGATGGCAGATAACGGAGAGGAGAGGCTGAAGCAATGGGGGGCCAAGAAAGGGGGAGGAGGCATGCCCGGAGGGAGAGAGTCATCAGAAGGTCCCACCCAGGAAAGTTATCACTGGAAATACTAAAGGACTGGATCATATGTGTTGTGCTAAGGACAAAGGCATTTAGATATTGATATAAGAAACAAGGATAATTTCCTAGTAAAAATTGGATTTCTAAGACAAATAAGTTGATAAAACCCCTGTTCTAGTAATTTAGAACCTCTTCAGAGATGAGTGAATTCCAAGAATAGCTCAACTATTTGTTGGAAGATAAAAAAGACCCCTAATTAAGGTACTTTTTCCCCCTGAAGACATGAGATTGATCCACTTGCTCCCACCCAGTCCCACAACTACATGACGGCCACTCTCACAGGAGGATCGCTGCCCTTTTGGGTAGCGTGTGGCGGCCACAGGACAATGTTAGATGTCAAGGAGACAAAGCCATCATTGACCTAGCCCAGTTGTGAGAATCCCAAATTAAGGACCTGGGATGTTCACCTCCAGCCATATGGAGAACTCCCTTTTAGGATGGAGAGCTCACTCATGTATGGTGGTCCATGCCTCTCCTGGGCAGCTTCGATGGCTAGAAGCTTTTCCCTTAATTTGAGCTGACATCAGCTTTTCTGCTCTTCCACCCATTGATCTTGCTCTGCCCTTCAGCATGGAAGAAAGCATCTTTTAAGAAATCCTTCCAATGATTGGCTAGCTCAGCAAGATCTGAGAGCAGCCATACAAAGGAAAAACTCCCCTGAGACAGGAAGCAAAAGCAAGTGGTGAGAGGGAGAGAGTGGTCCCTGGGCGGGACACCACACGCTTGGCTTCTCTGGTCTCCTTTTGCTTGGTGGGCATGAGCTCCTGGGCCTCAGCCCAGTGGCTTATTGCACAAGTTCCATAAAATCAGGAGAGATGGGGGTGCTTCAGGGAAGTGATGGCTGGGGCTCTCTAGGAAGAGAAGGACACCCACAGAAAGGCCAGCTAGAGTTTCTGAAAACCCTAGGGTCGTGGGAAGCTGATGGAGTGCATCAGACCAGGCTGGCGTCTGCTTCCAAAAGCCCCAAATGATCATCAGATTAGCAGATTTTCAGGGGAAAGGGCTCACAGCAGAAACTCAAATGCTGAGAATCCAGGCGTGCTTTCAAAGGGAAACAGGCCAGGGAGCATGGTACTAAATAAGATAAATTTTCTACAAGCTTACAATTTGTTTAGCCTGATAGTTTTCTTAATGAGTGAGTGAAAGAATATATCTAAAATACATATATATATATATTTCTTCTTCTTAACTGGTTTTTCAGCTAGTTCACCTTTCCATATGTACTGTACCCGCCTTCCAGCCTGAGGCCTCTCGAACTACAGAGTTAGGGGAAGTGAAGCAGGGAAGACCCTGCCGCTGTGGCCATCACTGGAAGAGTTCACAGCCCCTTCTCCCAGGTTGGCTGTATTAACGTAGATCTTAATGCTGAAGTCTGGAAGGGGAGGATATGGGTTGTGAGTCATGGGAGAAAGGAGGGATGCAAAGTCACAGAGAGAAATCCATAAGTCAATCAAGAAAGAGCAAAGGGAGACTCTTTCTAATGGAAGTGCAGGGTTTGCTGGGATAGCTTGGTTGGGATTCCTGGGTGATGAGTGTGAACAGCCCAGGAGAGACGGCTAAGGAGGGGAGACAGCCTAGGGCAGAGCTGTCGGGAAACCTGGTCGGGGACCTGAAAGGCTCTGTGGCCAACGGGACCCTGATGTGTGATTCCATGGGAGGAACCTATCACTGGGGAACAGAATCAGTGTTTCAGGCAGTCACCTTGTTGCCCTCCAATGGCCTTCTCATCTCATGGGACAATTCCATTCCTGATGGGGTTTAACAAACCTGCAGAGTGCTGTAACCAGGATCCATGACTTCCTGGGGGAAGGCATAAATAGAAACAGACTTCTGAAACAACTGAGCGCAGGGGATGACGTCCTGACCTCTGGTCAGAGGAAAACTCAAAGGCCTGGGTTTCATGTGCTGAACCGGAAACTTCTCAGCCTCTCGGTCTGAAATGAAGCCACATCCCGCAGACCCAAGACTAAGGCCTCGGGGTGAGGGCTTTGTGGTCAGACGCTTGGGGTCGGGACTCAGCTCTGCCACTGAACGGGTGACCGTACCCGGCAGCTCAGTTACCTAAGTTGAGTCTCAGTTTCCTTGTCAGTAAAATGGGGATAATGATTCATTCCCTGCCTCCCATTCTGAGGCGCTGTGAGCCGCTATGAGCTAATATCTGTGAATACACCTGCAGAACAATAAAGCTCTATACTGACAGGAGATATCTGTGTCGTAAGGCAGGAAAACAGCCTAACGTCTTCGAGAATGAAAACAGGCACTGTGGGCTGAGGTAACAGGGAAGTGGGCGTCTCAGCAAGGCTTCTGGGGCTCTGGGGTGGGCACTGCCCCTCCGACTCCCCAAGGGCGCTGATATTGGAAAGGCCGGTAGCACCAGGGACAAGGCAGTGCCCAGTCAGGGCCCGACCGCTGACCTAGAAAGTGCAGGCTGGGAGTCTGGCTGAGAGCCACGCGCACTCCCCACTGCTTGGTTTTCAGGGAGCACAGTTGGCAGATGCCACGTTTCCCAAGGAGGGGATGATCAGTTTATGGCGATGCTCAAAGGACAACGTGGCTTTGCTCCTGGGAACCACGTGTACACCTTACACGGAGGTGATGACTCAGTTGGCTGGCAGCGCATCGGGCCAGGGAGCCCCTGGTGGAGCAGGAGCCAGCCAGTCCCACTGCTCACAGACTCCCTGTCCAGCCCTACTGACGGGGTGTGGGTGTGTTATCTGCTCCCCAGGAAGCCCAGCTGCCTGTTGGCCACGCGAGTGCAGGAGGCGCAGCAGGCCGTCTTGTAGTAGTTGTAGACGCAGAGCCGCGCCTGGACCACCACGTTGCAGTTGTAGTACCTGTCCTTGCAGTTTTCATCTGCAGCAGAAGAGAACAAAAAAGACTCACTGAACACAAGAGGCAGCCTGTACTTACGGAAAGAGAAACGCAGCTTTCAATCCTGGCCTTACTGTTTATCACATGAGAGGTGTGAGCGTGGGCTAAGAGCTTATGTTTTTTCCTTTAAACATAAAGCTGAAATCTCACTACTTCGACCTTAAGGATGACGGAGGCAAATCTCTGCATGCACTTCCATTTTAATCAGTTCACAGTTAAGTTGATCTTTTGGTGAGTGGCTTGGATGGCCATCTGCCACAAACAGCCACCTTAAACTGTGAAACTTATCATACTGAAAGGATTTTGACCCCTTGAACTCCGTGGCTAGGCACAAGGTCACAGAGACACCTAGATGGGCTTGGCATTGTCATACCAGAGAACTTGACGGAGCTGAAGAAAGACGAATCTTTACTCCAAGATAGGAATCCCTACTTACCAACTTCAGGGACACAGTCCTGAGGGTTACAAGATTCTTTCTCTTCTGGTTTCAACTGAGGGTCACAGAGATTACTTAGGGTCATATCATCTGACAGACAGCGCACTTCCCGGACCCGGAAACCGCCCTGGCAGCTCTTGGAGCACTGCATGGGGACAAAGGGAGAAAGGTAGATTCCTTGGCAGCCATCAGCTCAGCACAATGGAGAGGGCAGATACTGGAAAAGGTCTAACATCTCCCAAAGGAGACAGAATATTCACACAAGCTCCCGTGCGCCTCTCCACCGGCTTCACCCTCATCCACTGAGGCCCAGTCACGTCCCAGCCCTACCCCACCCACGTCCCCTCCTCACATTCTTTTGACAAAAATCTGGACATCATATAACTCCCTCCATAATATTTCAGTTTGTAGCTCTAAAAGACAAGGACTCTCAAAAAATTACCACAATCCCATTTTTACATCTAGAATTAACAATAGTTGTTTATTATTTTCAAATATATATATATTCAGTGTTCCTATTTCCATGTCCTGTGAATCTCAAAGATTTTTAATAGTTGTTATTTTTTTTCCTAATCAGAATCCACATCAGGTCTGCACATTGCCATCGGTTGACATGCCTTTTACAACTCTTTAATCCACAGGTTCCCTCCACTGTATTTTTTCCCTTTGCACTTTATTTGTTGGAGAAACCGAGTCCTTTGTCCGGCAGAGTTTTCCATAGCCAGGATTTCGCTGACTGCATCCCCACGGTACAGTTTAACGTGTTCTTCTGTGCTCTGTATTTGCTGTGTATTGGAAGTTGGATCTAGAAGAGGCCTTAACAGGTGCAGCTTTGATCCTTTTCTGTGGTGAGACTACTTCATAGGATGCGTGTGGTTGTCTCTCTTTTGGGGATGTCAGCAGCCATCGATGAGCAATGCCCAGATCCACTAGTTTAATTGGGGTTGGAAATGGTGCTAATATTCTACCACTCCTTCTTTCTCTAGCTGGGAATCTTTTCTAAAGAATCTCTCCTGCTGTCTCTGCCCCCGCCCCACACATTTTGTCTTTGGTTCCCCAGCGGTACAGCTTGTTTAGGAAAAACAGAGTAAATGCTCCATTATTCCCCTTTATTTATCAGTTTTCAGAATAACAGGTTAGTTCCTCTAACAACCTCTAATAGTGATTAGCTTATTATTATAAACTTGTTACAAATGGATGAATTTAAACATATATGATGTGTTTCATTCAATTTATGGTAGTTATTATTTTTCCTGATGCTCATAATGTCCCATCAATGACTAGCGTGAGCCCCTAAAAGTTGGTCCTGGGGTCTCTGGACATGAACTCGGTTGTCTTTGAGAATGTCCTTGCTGCCTGGTTTGAAAAGATAGTCCACCTAATTTATACGTACATGGTCCCAGATCTGGAATCAGCCATCTCTCTAAGAATTCTTGGTTCCTTTTAGTGGACAGTGGTATTTTGAAACCACATTCTGGCTGACAGGCAGGCCCTTTCCTACTGGACTGTCATTGTTTCTTGGCTGTTTCAGTGGATAATACTAGAAAAGAGTTTCTTTTTTTTTAAGATAAATTGATTAATGAGTTCATACTGACATTGCTAATTCGAATTCAGGACAATAGGATTTTCACTTAAACTTCTCCTATCTTTTATCTGTATCTTCTTTCTCCTAAGTTGAGGACCCTATTTCTCAAGGATATGGGGGATAATAGAGTTATACTCTCATATTTTCATATATACTATCATAGTACCATAAAGTATACTACTCATTTACTTTATTGCACATTATATCCCCAATCATCTCAGGATACATCCAACACTATCACTAAAAATGTGACTATTGCAAACAATGTAAACATTTTTCTGCAATTCTTCTTGTCCTTAGGGATGGACAAATTACTACGTTTTAAAACCACGTGCAATAGTGCTGATGCCCCCAGTAGGGTACATATTTAGCTTCATTTGTTTTATTGCATTTTCCATTTTTAGGGATTGCTTTTTAAAAAAATTCAACTTTGTTTTATAATTATATAAAATATTTACTTAATTTCACACTCAAATTTATAAAACAAGGCATGTTCCAACATTGAGCTTCCATCACTGTCTTTGCTATGATAGTAACCATTTATTTCATATTTGTTTCAGTCTATTTATTTCTTTTTAAATTTACAGACAGAAAAATTCACTTTTTGTGGTGAACAGTTCTATGAGTTTTGACAAATTCCTAGAGTCGTTTATTTCTCACTGCAAACAAGACCCAAAAGTTCCATCTCACACAGCAAATCCCCTCGCGTTTCCCTTTGTCGTGAGATTCACCCACCGCATCCTCCGGCAAAATCACTGACCTGTTCTCTGCCCCTACAGTTTTGCCTTTTACAGAATATTATGTAAACAGGATCACATTACATGTAGCTTTTGGGGTCTTTCTTTCACTTAGCAAAGTGCACTGAAGTTCACCCACGTTGTCGGAGGCCCCAGCAGTGCACTCGTTTTTGTTGCTGAGCAGTGTTCCGCGAGTGAACGTCCCATGGTTTGTTTATTCATCCACCTGTTGAGGGACATCTGAGTTGTTTCTGGCCAAGTGTTTTGGAATTTGTCTCTTTGATGTGGCCTGGTGAATTTGGCTCCTTTTAGACTCTCCGAACCGAGTGGCAAAATAAAACAGTGACCTGTTCTAACATTCTCAAGGGTCTTGGCCAACATCAAAATCATTAAATTCCATTTCCCAGAAGTTGACAAAACACTTCTGAAACACAACACCTCCTTTGTCCCCACTTGCCCCTGAGATGCGCTTGACCACACACTCGAACGGCCGTTACCACCGGAGTGGACACACACTGTTTGGAAATAGGACTGTCAGCTTTTATTTGCATATTTCATAAGCAAAATCCCTTTCCTCACCTCTAAGTGATTCTGACAAAGGCTCTGGCTTCTATTCCGGGCTCACCGACAGCCATTGCTTGAAGATCTTCAGTGACACAAAGCAGAATGACTCCCCACCCCCACCCCGCCACGTGTCCAAGCTGTGTTAGAAGGTTCCTGGCAATGATGCTAAGTAAGTTTTATGTTTCATGAAGTTTCTCGAAAATAAACTCTTCTACTTGGAAAAAAAAGAATTTTATCACGATTTCCATTCTTTCCCATTTCCTTCCTTAATAATTTATCTCTGTATTAACTGTCTGTCTCTGTCTCTCTTCATTTACGTACTACTCTCCCTCCTTACAAAAAAGATTTTGCGATGGCTTAAGAGATACTTAAAGGGCTACAAGGTAAAAAAAAAAAAAAGAAAAAGAAAAAAGTGAGGAAATTGGGGTAAAAAGAAGATAAAAGTAGGAAAAAGAAAGAGAAGCCAGGGAACTTTGGCACACAAAATCCACTTTGTAAGGTCTGATAAACTCTCTCTTAGAGATGGGCCACAATTTTGGCTCTGAGTTTCCTAGCAGCCAATTCAAAGAGAAAAACAGGATCAGTCCCATAATCCACAATCCATGTTGTCTGTAGGATTTTAAAAAGTGTACACAACACACACAAATCAAGATCATCCCAGGCTCCAGCTCCCCCACCAAGCAGGCTGAGCCCAGGGGTGCCCCAACAGCAACCGATGAGAGCAGATTGCAGTAGGGAATCTATTCGAGGGCTGAGTCCAGTGCCTGGCATCTAGTAGGTGGTCCAGGCGTATCTACGGGAAGAAAGCAGAAGAATGACGTACTCTTGAAATCTCTATCAAGAGCACCATGACTTACCATGCTCCATTCTGTGTTAAACCATTTGGCCCCACAAGGCTTGAGGTGGCAGGATTGCTGGCTGGGGGGTCTCTCCAGGAAGGAACATTCATAGGGGTCAAGCACTTCAAAAGTATCTGCATTCTTCCTAACACAAATCACCTCCCTCTGTTGGGTCCCGCTCCCACACTCGATGGAACACTAGAGAAAGAAGCAGAGAAGGACGGGTGTCACATGATGGAAAGAGGACGAGAACTACCGTCCACCAAGGGATGTTTATGAATGCTTTCCATCATCAATTCAGTGAGGGAGAGTGCATGGGCACCTGGGAAATGTTTCTGGAGGAGAATTGCATGTGGATTCCAATTTTCCTAACAATTCTGTGTCTAGAATGGAGACTTGGTGTCCTGAGTTACCACAGCTTGAGGATGCTGGTCCCTCCGATCCTGGTCCCTCAGTGCTGAGGGTGAAATGGTTTCCTATAGACTCCCCCATGGGAACACACCAGCTAGTCAGTTTGGTTGATTCTGTCCAGTAGACTCTGACCACTCTCACTGTGAAACTAGGAACTGACAGTCTGGTTTATCTGCTGGTCTCTTAGAGGGTGGATACTGGGAATGAATTAGTCTCCCAGAGTCTGCTCACCTGTGGATGAAGGGCTAGGTTAAGATTCACACAAAGCTGAGAAGACAATCTCAGACTTGGGACAATGTCACCTATGGTCAACCCTCCCCTCCCAAGAGGGTGGCCAGGCGGAAGCCTTTGACTCTGGGGTCCAATCCCCTTGCTACCTAACTTGGTGCTGAAGCTTGCTATAGTTGTGGCCACAAAGAGGCCAGTCAGACTCTTAGACCTGTTGGCGTGTTGTTAGTTTACGGAAATACAATGCATATAACTGCTCATAAATTTCTCTATTTAGTATCTATTCCTTTGTAAAATGGTTTTTGTTCATGTTTGATTTACTCTTAATACTTTTTGGTTACAAATTTTAAAAGCTGTGATCTATATACTTTTAGAGACTTTCAAGAATCTACTGCCTTTATGAAAAGCCTGTAACAACATCTACAGCTGAAACTCTTAATACTAGCCTTGCTTTTGTACGCAGACGCACAGTGAAATAAAAACAAGGGGAAAAAACTCCACACCTCTGCAGAAAAAAAACACAACCCAATCAACAGACTCTGAATTAGTCAAACAAAGCGCAATAAACATCACCATCAGCAATTTCTGTTTTGTGTCTTCTTTTCTGCCATTTCATAGACACAGACATCCAGAAAACTACAGGTCTTCTTAGTTTTCCTATTTTCTTCCATGTTAGTTAGTCAACTTGTCTGTTTGGTGCTGGAGGTTGAGTGCAATCCCAGCATCGCAGGCAGACGGTATTCTATCTCTGTGGTTTGTACGTGCGTGTCATGATCTGTCAGACCTGGGTTTTCCCTGGATGTGATCTTTCTCATCTGTGTAGAACAATGCATGTCGTAACATGTTAGTTCCTTATTGATTGGAGTGTATTCAGTATATTCATGTTTTGTCTTTTTCTTTCAAGGGTTGCAGACAATGAAAGAATCGGAGGCAGGAGAGAAGCAACAGGCTGCCAGGCAAAGGTAGGAGGAGGAGAGCCGGAGGAGTGAGGGTGTGTGTGAAAGGTCCGGGGCGGCAGGAGCAGGACGCTGGGCTGAAGTCAGGAGAGGCGGAAACTAGTCTAGACGTTGTCACGAATTGGTCTTGTGTCTTTGGCCAAGACATTCGCTTCCCCAGGGCTCCATTATCTCACCTGCAAAGAGCGGGGTTTGGAAACCTGACCTGAAAGACCTCTGACTCCTCTGAAGGTCTCTGTCTCTACTGAGTGTTTGGCAGAATAGCAGACTGTAAACCTTGACCAAAACCTGAAGTTATTTTATGCTGTTCGGAAAGTCCTTGAAGACGTTAGGTAGTTAAGGGAGAATGAGCACATATCTCCATGTTCTCTGACCCTAAATGCCCAGAAACAGCAGAATAGTAGTGTGTGGAAACAAGTGAATGGATGTGTGTGCATGAGACAGTATCTGAAAACAGGAAAGGGTACTCATCCTCAGTGGGCCAGAAATCCTGGGGAATCTTTGAGTGGTGAAAGGCAGATGAGAGTAAATTGAAGGAAAAAATCACAGTTCAAAATGCACACAGAGGAGGACTCCAAGCAAGGAGGGAGCAGCTCAAGTGCTTTAGGCGAGAACAGTGCGGACACGAGAATGTGAGGAACAAGAGGGAGGCTTGGATGAGGAAGGGTGATCAGCTAAGACAATGACCAGACGCCTGACTGTGCCAAGGAAGAAGTGAAGGCATTTACCCCTACTGGGAGCGTTCAAGTCCAAGGGCAAGGTGAAGACATTTTCAGATATTCCAGGGGTCAGAAAACTTAGGGCTTATGAGTCTTATTAGAAAGACTTTACTGGGTTATGGTCTCTAACAAAATTAAAAGAACCAGGAAGAAGACACAGGATACAAAAGTAGAAGTTGGCAAAGACATCAGTAAAAGCTATTGTTAATAATGGATATACAGTTTCTTTTTGGAGTGATAAAAATATTCTGGAATTAGATAGTGGTGATGGTTGCACAACTTCATAAATATACTAAAACCACTGAATTGTATACTTTAAAAGGATGCACTTTATGGTATATGAATTATATTTCAATTAAAAAATCTTTGGAGAGGAGGAAGTTATGTTAAAATCTAAATTAGTATTTTCTATAAAATTAATTACCATTAATGTGGAGTTAAATCCAGATGATGTCAACATCTTTTTGGAGGTCTTATAGATTGAGAGAGTGGAGGTAAATAAAAGGGGACTTAAGGCTTCTGTTTTCTTTTAGGAGAGGATGTGGTTATTGATAACTTGACACTGATTGAAACATAAAAGTTTAAAAGTCTGTGTTAGGGGCCGGCCCGGTGGTGCAGTGGTTAAGTTCGCATGTCCTGCTTTGGTGGCCTGGGGTTTGTTGGTTCAGATCCTGGGTACGGACCTACACACTGCTTGGCAAGCCATGCTGTGGCAGGCATCCCACATCTAAAGTAGAGGAAGATGGGCACGGATGTTAGCTCAGGGCCAGTCTTCCTCAGCAAAAAGAGGAGGATTAGTGGAAGATGTTAGCTCAGGGCTAATCTTCCTAAAAAAAAAAAAAAAAAGAAAAAAGAAAAGGAAAAAAAAGTCTGTGCTAAATCTTTTTTCTTCTGTTATCACTAGATGAAAAAAAAAATAACATTTATAACTTCCAAAGTGTAAGAGGGAAAAAACAGAATTAAGGAAACCTGCCCAATAAAACGTGTGGAAAGGAAAGAGGAAAAAAACCCAAGAAAGCACAGCAATAGAAAACTAAACAGAAAACACAAAATAAGACAACAGGGAAAAGTCCAAACATAGAAGTGATTACAATAAATGTAAATGGTTAAAATTTACTCTTAAAAAATAGACACTTGCATATTGAATAAAAATAAAAACAAAAATAGTTCTGCATACCAAAGACACTATTTAAAAATACACATGAAGTTGAGAAATGTATACCAGATGAAAATCAACAATGCAAAATAAGATATAGCAAATATCAGATAAAAATATGATTCATAGAGAAAGGCATAGAAGACAAAAAGTAATATTTACTAGGATAAATGCTTCCACTGAGAAGTGATAGCAATTATGCACGTTTCCACACCTGCAGCTGTACTTTGGTAGCTCACTGATCCAAGACCGCATGAGAATGGAGACGTCTGCTCAGATGTCAATGAGAAGAAATGTGATCCAGACACACAGGCAGATAAGAGGGCTGCTCCTGATGACTACACACTGTGAAAGACCCCTCAAAACTAAGACAATCTAAGGGTGAAGTAAGCCCAGAACTGACAGAGAAGAAAGGAAACAGCTGGGCATGAATAATAGACTTGGCAGCATACCTTATGAATAAGAGCTGGGCTATTTTGCCTCCAGAGTAAAAAAGACTCCCTAAACTGGACAGGTCTTACTCTGTCAGGCTGGCTTTCTCAAGCCTCAACACAGCAACTACTAGCACCTGTGCTTACAACTTTCCGGGAGGGGGGGGTCTCTTTTCTTAAATCCATAAAAGTCCCAGGGAAGGACTCTGTCTGGCTCGGCTTGGGTCACATGTCCATCCTGGACTGATCACTGTGACCAGGCTGGTGGGGTGTTCAAGATGCCGACCCTCATTCAAACCACGTGACAGGAAGGAACATTTATTTTTATATTCTGAAGTCAGTTAATGTTTAAGACTCACCTTTCAGTAAAGAAGAGCTCTATTTTATTTTCTCTAGGGATAATGCCAAATTCCCAGGGCAGGGAGGTGCCAGCAGGCTCCAACATCCTTACAAATTCAGAACCAAAACCTTTGTCCACATTCAATCATGTTCTGACCCTTATAGACAACAGGGCAATACATTCCATGTTTCTTATCTTGGCAGAAATAAATGCTGCTTCACCAGGATTTGCACCACTTTCAGTTCTCTGAGCTTAGGTCTAGAGTTAACAGGAGGCCCACAAACAAAGAAGACCCTGAATCCTGCTCCCCTCTCCCCTTCCAAGATTGCAGGCATGCCAGCTGAATCACACTGCTCATCCTCACTGTGCGTGAAGACCGTTATGATCTGATATTACAATTTCACGTAAGACTCTTCCCATCGCCTCAGTTTCCGTGGATATTTGGTGTAATTGGGGTCCCATATACATCCCGCTTCTGAACTATCTTTGGGGTTTAGATGCTAGGTGTGTTGCTACCAATAATGAGACAGAAACAGCCACCAGAAAAAATAATAAAGACTGGAGGAAAGAGAGCTAATATTTATTAAGCATTTCCCACGTCCCAAGCAATGGGTAACCCCCTTTATATATAGCATTTCATGAACACCCATTACAATTCTAGGAAGTTGGTATTATTATCCTCATATCGGGATATCTGGATGAGGAAACAGGCTCAGAGAGGTTAAACTTACCTGCCCCAAGTCAGAGAACTGAGGAGAGGCAGCGCTGGCATCAGTTATCAAGCATATCTAACTCTGCTGTCCTCTAGGGCAGCACTGGAATACTTGAATTCTCTTTCTTTCTGTTTTCCATATTTTACAGTTCGCATTATAAAAACATTAAAAGAGGGGCTGGCCCAGTGGCATAGTGGTTAAGTTAGTGCGCTCTGCTTTGGTGGCCCAGGGTCCACTGGTTTGGATCCCGGGTGTGGACATGGCACCGCTTGTCAAGCCATGCTGTGGCAGGTGTCCCACATATAAAGTAGAGGAAGATGGGCATGGATGTTAGCTCAGGGCCAGTCTTCCTCAGCAAAAAGAGGAGCATTGGCAGTGGACGTTAGCTCAGGGCCAATGTTCCTCAAAAAAAAAATAAATAAATAAATAAAGGAAACTTGAGAAGAAAACATTTGCCCATATTGTTTATATAAAATGCCATACTTTGAAGTGGTTGAGATAGGCTCCATATATCTTCATATTCTGTTTGTCACTTGCCATTATATCATATGCACTTTCCACATCTTCCTATCATTGTTAGTGTTACATAATATTTTAAAGAGTTACGATATACCATAATATCCCTAACTACCCTGCCGTCATGAACACCTCTGTTGAAAAAGCCTTTTTTCTTCGGTTAATTATTTCCTTAAAATGAATCCCCAGGAATGGGGTGACTGGGTTAAGGCAAATGAACACTTTTATGGTTCTTGACTTTTATTGCCAAATTGCTTTCCAAAGGGGTTGTATCAATTTACAAGGACAAGGCAGTCCATTTTTTCAGGGGCTGTTTTTAAAGCTACTTAAAAGAAATAAAATTCTATATGGAGCCAGAGGCCCTGATAATGTGTAAATCATGACCATCAGCCAAAAAGCCCTTGGAGAGCCAGCCAGCCCCGGGAGCCAAGTGCTCAGTGGCCCAAGAACTCACAATGTTGATGGAAATCTTCGCAGGGCAATGCGAGGGAAGGGTCGTCTCAAGTTTTCTTAGGGGGTTCATGTTCAATTTTGGAACCGTAAATCAACCGATTAACTGAGTTACTTTATTAAAGCATTCGGAATTATCTGTTCTTTACAATGAACAACCTCAACTTTTTCTTTCTGCTTCTATCTTTCTGTCAGCTTTATTTGGGTATAATTGACAAATAAAACTGTAATATATTTAAAGTGTACACATGATGATATACCTTGTGAAAGGGTTCTCACAATCAAGTGAATTAAAAACACACTCATCACCTCACATAGTTACCTTTTGTGTGTGTGAGAACGTAAGTTCTACTCTCTTAGCAAATTTCAACTATACAGCACAGTGTTATCAACTGTGGTTACCATGCTATGCATTAGATCCTCAGACCTTATTCATCCTATAACTGAAACTTGGTACCCTCTTACCAGCCTCTCCTCATTTCCCCCACTCCCTAGCCCCTTGCAATCACCATTCTATTCTCTGTTTCTCTGAGTTCGACATTTTTTTTTAGATTCCACAAATAAGTGATACCATGCAGTATCTGTCTTTCTGTGTCTGGCTTATTTCACCTAGTATAATGCCCTTTAGGTCCATTCACGTTGTCGCAAATGGCAGGATTTCTTTCTTTTTAAAGGCAAATAATATTCCATTGTATGTATATACCACATTTTCTGTATCCATTCATCAATCAACAAACACTTAGATTATTTCAATACCTCGACTGTTGTGAATAGCACTGCCATGAACACGGGAGTACAGACACCTCCTCGAGAGAATGATTTTGTTTCCTTTGGATATGTACCCAGAAGTGGGATTGCTGGATCATATCTATTTCTGCTTCTGACACTCAAATACAGACAAAACTGGCTTTGTTAACATTAATAATAATAATAGCAGCAACAGCTACGATTTATTGCGTGTTTATTGTATGTCAGGCACTGTGCTGACATTACTTTGTTTCTCCTAAAAATAACCTCATCAGCAGCTGTCATTACCAGCCCTTTTCGGACAAGGAAGCCATGCTGGGCCCCCGCTCCCCGGCGCAGGGACACTTGTCTCGCTCACTGAGCATCCTCGAGTGCTTAGAAGAGCATGTCGTAGGTGACTGGCCCAGGCTCCAAGCAGCACAGCGGGATCCAAACCAGGGATACCTGGGACTCCCAGACCCCTCCCCAGGGACGACAGACACTCCAATTCGGCCACTCACCTGACTCCAGCTCCCCGCAAACCACTCCACCTTGCCCGTGCAGGGCCCGTTGTCACACGGGGTGGCCTCCGCTGGCCGGTTGTTCCCACAGCCCTCCAGGGGCAGGCTGCTGACGTGGTTGGTCATGCACACCACCGAGCGTGTCCGCACTCCGACCCCACACTCTGCCGAGCACTGCGAGACAGGAGAGGGCGGTGAGAGGGGAGGCCGCCTGCAGGTCCCGGAGCCACTTTCAGACGACTCAAAGGAGGACCAAACACCTCGTTTCCAACCAACTCTTTCCCTGGAAATTGCTGGCCACCTCTCATGCCAGCCTACACCATGATGAGACAGCGGTACGGCAAACGCCCATGTTAGATTTTCTGGGACAGTCTTCATTCCAAATATCCTGTTCCGCTGCAGCGATTAACACCCTCAGCCGCACCGGGCTCTCTCTGCCAAGTTTTGCTTTCGAAACTATATACAGCAGCAGAAGAACGACAGCATAAAAACTCGGGCACATGTCCACCTGCGATTCCACTTTCTTCCTTTGTATTAGTTATTTGTGTCCTATTATCTTTTCTTTATAGAAGTAGGCTTGTTGTGGCCAGGGACCATGAAATCGTCTTTAATTCCCTCTCAGGGCATCTCACCCATGCGCAAATCCATGAATATCCACTGAATCGGGGAGTGGGCCCTCCCTCACTCATTCCTCTTCTCTGCCAGCACCTTGCCGGCCTGCAAGTGCCCCTTTAGATCATGACCAAAGCCCATTCTGAGGGTTTCTGCAGAGTCTTCTCTTAAAAACAGACCCAATGTTTGGTTTCTACCAACATTTCCATTTTTAAAAATAAACAAAAGCAATATAATTTTAAATAAAATTTGAGAAAAGGAAAAACAATACAACCTGGTTTCCTTATCAAGGTTTCTATTTTCATTTTTGGAACTTGCTGTCTAATCTTGTAAAATCGCAGCCCAGGGTGAGTAATCAAACATTTACACGACCACTGTTAAGGGGGCTGCACTTCCCGGAAAGGAAACTCTCTGGAACACAGAGCTTGAAGGCACCCAGAACATGCTGCTTTGGCATATTGATTATTTTGAGCTAAAGGCAATTGAGAAACAGCAGATGCAGAAAGAGGTCTCTGCCCTCCCCTTCTTGCCTAAAGCAGGGCATCAATTTCCTATGAGAATGGTGCCCTCCCAGTTCCAGGGAGAGAACATTCTCATCATCTGAGATGGGGAATCGATGCCAAGATGATGTCTTCACAAACAAACCTTACTAAAGTAACCCTTATCCTCTGGTAGTTCTCCCATATATCTCTTAGCCATTTTCCCACAATTTACGGCTTCTAGAAGTCCAAACATCTTTCCTTCGTCTATTCACTTCTTCATAATTTATCACCCTTTGTTAAGTGGTATATAAGCCCTCATGTCTAACTGCTTCTTTGGGATTTTCACTTCTTTCCTATGAAGATCCCTGAGCCGTGTAAAAAAACTAACATCAAATAAATTTTGTGTCTTTTTCTCCTGTTCATCTGGCTTTTGTCAGCTTAATTTGCATGCCTCTAGCAAAGAACCTAAGAGGGTATAGGAAAAGTTTTTTTTCCCTTACAGCCTCACAAACACTTTTCATGACTTATCCTTCATCTGCATTGTTATTAGAAATCGGAGACAATGAATCAGTCTCTTAGGTTACAAAAAACCTTTGCTATAGTAATTGGAATACTCCAGGCTAAAGAGTTTTTTGTCTCAGCCATGCATTATTTGGTCTCTTTCCTCACTTTCAAACCGAAGATATTTAAGTTCTCCTAAAGAATGCAAGGTAAATCAAAGCTAAGTTATCTTTGTGTCCCAAACTCTAAGAATATTTCTTTCCAGGTAATTTCCGTTTGACTCACTAGCTTCTGTTTTTCAAACCAAGTAATGTACACGCATCTGGAAGAGTTTCCTCATATCCCCATGTGATTAATTTAAAAGAAGAATGTTAAGGACCAAGCCAAGTGCCCAGTGACAGAACATTATAAGGATGAGCCCTGCAGAGGAATTTCACTTTATTCCACCAACTGCAGGGAAAAGACAACAAATCTAAATTTGAAAGGAGCCACCCACCCAGGCCCTGGCCTGGGAACCCTGTCAGTAGAAATGAGGGGAACGAGGGGGCCCTATGAGGCAGCAGAGAAACTGTCAGAGTAAGGCACCCAAACACACCCATTCGCAGTCCCTGAGGACGTCCTGAAAGAAGGCCCAAATCCGCTCTGACCGTTGGAAAAGGACCTGACTCCTTATTGAACTCGTGGGCTGATAAACAGAAACACATGAAATTCCTCAGCAGCCCTGTGGCAAGGACTGTCTTCTCAGTCCAGCCTCAGTTAAATGCTGAACTTGGCCCAATTGGCCCCTGAGGGACCATAAGGTTCTAACGAGTATTCCTGAACTTCAGTTTTATGCATCACTGTCTACAATTTAGATAACTCAATGTCTTTACTTATTTCTTCTCTTAGCAAACATTCTTAGAAATTAGGTGTTACAAAATTGCAGCTGGTGGACTTTCTGAAAGTTTTTTTTTTTTTTCCCCTGTGGGATTAAAAATTGCACATGTGTTTAAACCTGTCATTGATTTGCAGAACTAAAAAGTAAATGATGCCCACATCTGAGAAGGCCCACCCTCACGTAAAGGAGGCTGCAGGGATGTTTTCAAGTGAGGAATCAGTGAGAACTCTGTGGCCCCAGAGGTTTAAGAGAAGATTCAGACTGAGTTTACAACCTCAATTCATTTGGGTAGAGATTAATTAATTCTAAATCTGGCTACACTCTGGATCCTTGAGTGTTTGTAAACTTTAATCTCATTTTCTTTCGTCTCCCACTTGAGCTCATTAAACAGAGGCTGTGTCTCATTCATGCCTGGCATGTATTAGGCACTCAAGACATGGTGTGTCCCAGTGGCGAAAAATTGCGTAGTTCACAGTAAAGCTTAACAGAGTTGATTTTTTTTTGGTGGGAAAGTTTCGCCCTGAGCTAACATCTGTTGCCAGTCTTCCTCTTTCTCTCTCTTTTTCTTTTTCCTCCCCAAAGCCCCAGTAACATAGTTGTATATTCTAGTTCAAGTCCTTCTATATGAGCCACTGCCACAGCATGGCTACTGACAGATGAGGGGTGTGGTTCCACACCCAGGAACCAAACCAGGGCTGCCAAAGACGAGTGCACTGAACTTTTAACCACTAGGCCATCAAGGTTGGCTCCAGAGCTGATTTTTTACACAAAGCTGCTATTCAAATCTGGAAGACTGCCATCAGCTGGTCATCCCTGGAGGATGTACGTTTCAGAAAGCTAACTGGCGACTCAAAGGCCCACCCCATCGTGCCAACCTTGTCGAGGGCATGGTTCCGAATGTGTTATCCCTTAATGCCCACTCAGCAATGTTACAGATGAGGAGACTGAGTGTCAGAGAGTCAGCAGCTGCTCAAGGTCTAACAAGAAATAAGTCCTTGGGGGCCGGCCCTGTGGCCGGGTGGTTAAGGTTCCACGTGCTCCACTTCAGCAGCCCCAGGTTCATGGGTTTGGATCCCAGGTGCAGACCTACACCATTTGTTAAGCCATGCTGTGGCAGCAACCCACATACAAAATAGAGGAAGACTGGCACAGATGTTGGCTCAGGGCAAATCTTCCTCAGCAAAAAAAAAAAAAAAAAAAAGAAAGAAAAAGAAATAATTCCTTGGGGAAATGATGCCAAAGCCAATGTGCCTTCCTTAAACCCAATAGCACTCCTTCCCACTCAACTACTCTAAAATAAGCATGAACATTCAGGAATAATGGTCTATTCTGAGGGAGATAAAGCAAAATTACTTACATCACAGTACCAAACTTACATGGCTTAAAACATCTTTTCCAAAAAAGAATAAAAAAGTTCTCTAAACAGAAGAATAAAGTGCTCAACTTTTTCTCTGTTTAGAATTTTAAGACAAAGGTTAGAGCCAGCAAGTGCTTATGTTAAAATACAAAGCAAACTTACTCTATAGGGAAATTTATAAGTCTTTATTGGAGGAGAAATAAAGAATAGGGATTGGTTCAATTACAGACGTCATACAACAGCTTGTTCTAATTAGAAATCTTGCTTTAAAGGTTTTTTAATTCCATTAAAATGTTTATAATAAATACATAAGTGAAAAAGCAGGTTACCAAATTATACATATGTTATGATTTATATCCTTAAAATACACGAGTACAAAAAAGCTATGTATGTAAAGTATGTATAAGTAGAAAAAAGCTTGGCAGTTGGCTTAAAAATCTTAAGTTATTGGGGCCCAGCCCCGTGGCCTAGTGGTTAAGTGCACTCCACGTCAGCAGCCTGGGTTTGGTTCCCAGCCACGGGCCTCCACCACTTCTCGGCAGCCGTGCTGTAGCAGTGACCCACGCATAAAATAGAGGAAGATGGGCACAGATGTCAGCTCAGGGCGAATCTTCTTCAACAACAAAAAATTACACAAATAAATAAATAATCTTTTTAAAAACGTTAAGTTATGGGCCAGCCTGGTGGAGTAGTGGTTAAGTTTGCGTGCTCCACTTCGGTGGCCTGGGGTTTGCAGTGGACCTACACACCGCTTATCAAGCTATGCTGTGGCAGGCATCCCACACAGTGGAGGAAGATGGACATGGATGTTAGCTCAGGGCCAATCTTCCTCAGAAAAACAAACAAACGAAAAACCTTAAATTATCTTCTAGTGAAGAGATTATAGGTATGCTTTTCTGATTTTTTCATATTTTTTATAATAGTATATGTTACTTTATGACCAGAAAAATTAACATTATTTTAAAAAGACTCTTTCTAATGTAAAAATGAAAGCCCAGCATCATTCTTTTCATTCATTTGCTTACACGCTATATTCACCAAGTTTACTATGAACACAAATGAGTTCTGGGATGGCTAGAAATCCAGAAACACAAAAGAATTAGTTGAAGGGACAGCGAATTTTTAGCCTGGAGAAGAAGTGGAAGGGGTCCCTAAATATCTGTAGGGCTGTAATGTAAGGAGAGAGCACTCACATTTTCTAGGGGACCCAAGTGGCAGTTAGCAAAAACACTTTGGTTCAATGTAAAAGGAAACCTCTCAACACCATGGGCTGTACAAGAAATAGATGAAACCGCCTCGGCACCAAGTCAGTTTCTGACAGAGGAATCAGACCCGTGTCAGGGACGCTGCAGAGGACTCCTCATACTGGCAGGGAGGCTGGCCAACATGACTTCTGAACTGCCTCCCAGCACTGTTTCCACAATGCCAGGAGCTAATGTGAGAGCTGGGAGCCTTGGAAAGGGGGGGATATGCAAACAACTGGGGTGAGCTCTGCTGCCGTCAGCTCTAGGGGCAGAAGTCTGAGTCAATGGACACCTTTAGATCGGCATCTACTTTCCATCTGTTTCAACCTTCGGCTAGCGCCTTCCTGATGGTGCTAATTTGGTGCCTGTTACAATCATCTCCTTGGGCTGGAGGCACCGTTAGCTGCTCATCCTAAAATTTCAGTGTTCATACTCTAAGGGCTCTCTGTTTGGGGGCTAAGGGGCAGGGGCCGTATGCCATGAGGTGTCGGGAATCCACAAGAAGATAAGTCACTCGATGAGAATCTCCAGGATGATCTCTGAATGTGGAGTGAAGGCTGCGCTGGCAGGTTTGTTCTCCCTTTCTTTCTCAATAACAATCCCCACTGATGTGGATTATGACTGTGATGAGAGGGATGAAGTTAAGGGGCATCTTATGACAGGGAGGGAGTGGAAACCCATGTGAACACTGGTCCACGGTGGGTACTGACCAGTCAGAGTGGATGCTGGCCAATTGGAATCAACCAATGTGGCAGTATGGGCATGAATCTGCTGATGTGTGAAAGTTTATTCCTCTGAGCTTGAGATACAGAACATGAGGCTGTGGGGAGAGGGCTCACGAGCTCAGCAGTGTTTCCTAAGATTCTATGAACTCGGCTGCTCTCCCCAACCTCGGACCAGCGGCCTCAGTGCCACCCGGGACCCCATCAGAAATGTAGAATCTAGTCTATGCAGAAACTGATATATAATACTGTACCCCTGAAATTACACAATGTTATAAACCATTATGACCTCAATAAAATAATTTTTTTTTAAAGATTTAAAAAAAAAAGCAACGTGGACTCTCAGGTTCATCTCACAGTACGGACTCAGATTCTGCGCTCTCACGAGGTTCCCAGCTGATGTGTAGCTCGTTATGGTTGGGAAGCATCATGAGGAATTCTGATAAGGGAAATGGTGCAGACCTGGCCTAACTGAGAGGGAGGCGCTAACCAAGGACAGAGACAGCCACTCATGTCTACGTCCTGGTTAAACTTCCAAGGTCTTCTGGAGAATCCGGAAACCCAGAAACAGTCTGTTTGACGACTAGACCAGCTGCCCTGGGCAGAACCCTGGTCGGCCTCTCCTTCTGCAGCCCATCGGCAGCTTCCGCAGGAAAAGGAAGGCCAGGCTCAGCATCTCCTTCCCCTCTATTCCTTACTCGAAGCTATGCCCTTTAACGTTGATTCCCTAAACTCTTTTTTTTTATTGTGGTAAAATACGTATAACATAAAATCTACCATTTTGATAATTTTCAAGTGTACAACTCAGAGGCATTAAGTCCATCCACATTGTTGTGCAACCATCCCCGCCATCCATCTCCAGAGTCCCACTCTTTTCTTATATAAATCCTATTTTTGTCTGTGATAGATGGACTCAGTCTCTTATTGGTTTCCCTTGTACACAGGTACCTGGTGGGCTGATGATGAACTCTATGCCTTTGAGTTAATCTTTGACACCTGACGCCAGGGACCCCAAGGGAGGCCAGGCTAGTGGGGAGGGGACAGTGTGTGAAATGCTTTGAGTCAGTAAGAAGTAGGGAAGGGGCCTGCCATTTGCTGAGTGCCTACTCTATGCCAGGCACTCACAGAACTTATGAAAGGTGTGATGTAATAATTCACTTGATTTAGCATTTCATTATTTAATATTCATGTGCTAAGGAGAATTAAACTAATTATTTCACACCCACTCCTCAGTCTTGGAGCCCCTCAGTCTTCATATAAGAATAGAAAGCTTATAATAGTTCTCTGGGCCTTTTTCCCAAAGTCAGAAATTACCCTTGGGATTCTTGGTGAGTGGGTCATCTTTGTGTGGTTTGGAGACCTTGTGACGTGCAGCTCCTGCCCATTAGCCCAGCAGGCCTTGGCCCCAGCTCCAGAAAACACACTCTGCCCACCGCCACGCTCACCCTTTCACTCCACTCGGTGAGGAACCAGCTCTTCGCACAGGGTCCCATGTCGCAGTTCTCAATGTCATTCGGCCGGAGCCTCATGTTGCATTCCTCATCGTCAACCACGTCCCCAATGTTGCTCACACACTTCACGTCTCGGGTCCTCTGTCCCACTCCACAAGGCACTGAGCACTAAAACACAGCAAGCTTACGTCAGTGGAACAGGCAGCGTTAGCTCCGGGGGACTCTCCAGTTGTGGTGCCCTCATCCTTGTTACCTGCCACCTGAGCAGAGGACGGTGCTGAGACACCCTGTGTTGCTGGGTCCCCTGCAGTGTGACACTACCTGGGGGGGACCCCATCCCTGAAAACTTCACGACCCTTTTCTCTAAAACCTTCCTAGATGTCTTGCCTGCTTTGTTCCTCTGAGACTCAGTTCTGTCATCTATAAAATGGGAGAGTAAGATTGGAAGGAGTTGGCTCTACCAGCAGTTGCCAACCTTCACACCACTGTGACGCACGGGAGAGATGAGACCCATATGCACACGACTCTGATGGGCTCACTCTTAAAGTCGGCTGCGGATGATACACGGTAGCCTTAACTCTATCCAGCTATCGGTACCTGCTGCGGTTTGCAGAAACAGAAGTTCAGAACCCCACAGGATGGGTTCCCTCCTGGAGAACTCAGGGTCCTTCCAAGTCAGGTTTTGGTGGGGGCAGGTGGGAGGGTGGCGGTGGGTCTTGGAGGGGGAGCCCCAGAGCAGGCTGCCCCACCCTGCGTACCGAGGTCCAGTCCGTCCGGATCTGCCACTCGCTGCAGATCTTGAGCTGGCAGGTGCTGGTGGTCTCGGGCTTCTCCAGGTGCTGGCAGCGGTAGGGCTGCACCGTCAGGCTGCGGTTGGCGTACACCTGGCGGCACAGAACCTGGCGATGCTGCATGCCCAGGCCGCAGGTCTTGCTGCACTCGGACCACTCCCCGATGTCCCAGCTGGCTCAGGAACAAGACGGTGGGAGGGAGAGATCACGTCAGTCAACAGGAAGAGAACACGAGCCCGAGTCGACTTACACAGGACCATCAGAATCCTTCTGGGTGGTCCTCATCCTACAGCACTGCTTAACAGTCTGCCTAGGGGCCTGCTGACTCTGTAAAGGAATGAACTTTGTTCCACATGCTATTTGCAGGCGATTAGGGCCCAGATTCTACAAAATTAGAGAAAACTGAGAAGTTATAAATGATTTTTATCTAATAAAAAAAACAACTCCAAAGGTTAGTTTAATTACCCTGTAGAACATTAACCCACTTTGGAACTAAGAAATCTTATTCTAGCTTTCTCTCTCTGTGCACAGCTCACCTACGACACGGACCACACTGGATTGTAGTTCTATGCTTCCCTCTTTGTTTTACTTGCCAGGCTAAGCCCTAATGGCTCCGGCTCCCTGGGAGCGGGCTGACCTGTGAAAGGCCACGAGCTCCTGTGTTAATCCCGAAAGTCAGGTGCGCTTGCTAAATGGACTGAATTTCATGCATACAGCAAGTCATGTTTCTAAATGAGATGTAGAGAGATTTAAAAATTCGATTATATCTGCTACTAAGGCTCAATGTGCAAACGACTAGAAGCGACCTAATAAGAGGTAACCTCAATAGCGAGGCTGTCTTACAAGGCTGGGCAAGGGAAGATGTTGCAGGGCTCCTCCTCCGGGGTCGGCTTCATGCTGGAGTCACAGTAGCTCTCAGGGACCTCTTCGTGAGTGCTTCTGTGCACACAGCGAAAAATAGGGTACTGCGAGCCTGCAAGGACAAGGAGAACATGAGAAGGACAGTCCCGCACGCTTGACTGCTGGGCTGCGGGGGAGCTGCACAGAGATCCTGATGAAGAGAGGCCATAGAAACAGAACCACTCGCACACACACTCCTTCCTCGATGCATTTACACACAGCTCCCACACAAGGTCTGCCAGGCTCTGCGGGGCGCAAAGAAGCATAGGAACAGCTCCTGCCCTCGAAGAGCTTACAACCTATTTGTGCACACGGTTTCAAAGGCAGATAAAAACAGCTTTCATAACAGTCTAAGATGTCGCCAGGCAGGTGAATGATTATGAAATGAGCACAAATAATAACTTCTTGAAGATATTCTGGAGACATCAAAGAGAAAGGGGTCCTGGAGGGGCCAAGCTGCATCCTAGAGAAAGGGTGGGTTTGCGTAGCTGTGTGCACAGGTCCAGGTCACTGAACTGGAACAAAAGTGCCCAACACATGGCCTGCAAGTGCCAGGTACATGTAAGAGACAGTCAGTTTGAAGCAGAGAAGTAAGAAGACTCAAGAGCGGCTAGAAGAGCAGCTGGCTCCCCTCTCTGTAAATCATCTCATGCATTCCCCTAATAAAGCACCAATCCAATGGTATGCTAGTTATTTGAGTATTTGTCTGCCTCCTATGAGATGGCAAGCTTCTCAGGGACAGGACTAGCTCCTGTTCATCTCTGTAACCCCAGTACAGCAGAGTAGCAGGTGCTCAATAAAAGTTTGTTGAATGAATATTTATCAGAGGTCTGATATTTGTTTTTATTATTTTGCTATAAAAATTATACTAACCGCCTCAGGTTTTTTGTTTGTTTTAAGTCCACAAGCTGCTTTCGTTGGCTTAATAAGGATAAATCTATTTTGGATAAAAAGTCAGAATTTCTAGCTCAAAAGAAAGCTGATTCAATTCTGCCTTTCTCTCTCTGCTACCCCCTGGTGGCAGCACTGAAGTATTACTACCGGCTGTTTACAAAGTGAGAAATGGAACAGGCTGAATTTCAGTTCAACTGTCTGAAGAGTAAGATGTCTTTTCACAAGTAATTCCCTACGCCCACCCCAGCCCCAGTCTGCGGTGAACAATTCCTGCTGGGCAGAACACTGTCATTTATTCTACAGCTCTGTCTTAGCTCTGTTGCCAATTGGCCAGGCATTTAGAGTTTCTGAACTTCCAACTTGCTATAATTTTAATTGTAACTGCAGGGATAAATTTTAATGCAAGCGTCTCAACACTGCATCAGCTATGAAGTGTTTTAGTGCTTCTTGAAGCTGAGCTTGTGTGACCCACTGAGCCCGAGGACGGTTCTTGTAAGGAGCTTGACAGTTTGTAAGACAGTTTTGAATCTGAAACAATCATTTGTTTAAACGACTCTGGCAGTAAAAATTCACAATGTAGCTATAACTTGAGACCATTATTTAAAATAACATTCCAATTAAGCATAATTATTAGCTGAGTAAAAGCAGTACTGACTGTAAAATTAATGGAAGGCAAAAACTTTTGCGAAGTTAAATATTGTCCAGCGACATACCTGCTTCCATTAAGAAGAGATTTTTAATTAAATTCGACAAACATTAAGCACATTGTGCTGAGTTACAAAGATGAATAAGATTCAGTCCATGGCTTGCAGGGTACCCATCTGGGACCCAGCTATTAAAAGTTTAAGTAAAAATCTTATTATTTAGTCTATCCCTTTCCCTTCAGAGCATATGGGTTTCAGTTTTCTGCTTACAAGTTTGTGGATTGGAAAGCAAAAGTAACTACCCCAACCAGCCGGCACTCAAAAGAGGGGGAAATTTAGTATCTTTCGCTAAAAGGATATAGGTTACCATAGGAATGCTCTGTGCCCTGGAAAGATGGGTCCTGCTTGGGGCTGTTTGTACATGGCCACTGCCTGCCGTTCCCCACCCTTACTGCCTTTACACTACACTTGTCCATGGTCCAGCTCCAGTGTTTAGTCAAGGAAATAAATTCAGAAGCAGTCTCTCTTTCTGATGGCGAGAAAACACCAGAGCTATAATTCTTGACTCTAGTGACCACAACTGGTTCTTTCTTTGGGTCATTTTCTTTACTTCTGCTTTTTCTCCCCAAATCCCCCCAGTATATAGTTGTATATTTTAGTTGTGGGTCCTTCTAGTTGTGGCATGTGGGACTCTGCCTCAGTGTGGCCTGACGAGCGGTGCCATGTCCGCGCCCGGGATCCGAACCAGCAAAACCCTGGGCCACCACAGCAGAGCACGCAAACTTAACCACTTGGCCACGGGGCTGGCCCCTTTGGGTCAGTTTTGATTTCTGCAGAAAGGGAGACTGTCACTCAGAATGGCACCTGGCCATCTCTTCATTGTCCAAGCATGCCATTCAATTATTCCTCTAATTGCTAGCAAGCAAGAATGGGGGGTGGAGGAGACGGTGAGCTGAGATGCTGGCTGGGCTTCAGGCAGCAGGAAAAAATCTGGGGTCTGTTTGGTTGGGTTATATGTCTGGTATATTAATCAAAACAGAAATATGTTATACTGGAGGAGGGAACTGTACAGAGGTCAGTGAGGCATTATGGAGAGATGGACAAAATAAGGAGCAAGAAAAATTAGATAACTCTAGTCTTGGAACTATGGGAATCAACCGAGCCAAGCCAAGAGTTTGACCAGACTGACAGAGGTGTTGGCAAGGCCGGGACGGAGTGTGGGCCACTCTCGGATGCTGGCAGCAGGACCCCTCCCCGTGATGATGATAGCATGATGCTAAAAAGCATCTACAAAAACAGAGACGTAGAAATGTGTGGTCTGGTTAGCTCCCCCAGGAAGGACTGGAGGAGAGTTTGGGGGAGGGTTTGTGTGGGGACAACAATGACGTCACAAGGGGAATGGACTTGGGTTGTGCAGAAAAGAGTTAGCACCAGCAGGTGGGAATTTCCTGTCACGGCACACATGTCACTGCTGCTGATGACCGTGAGATGAGCTAAATGTCCTGTGGATCCACATCACCTCCTCTGCCCTGCACGTCGGGGACCAGTGCCAGCTGGGAGCAAATCTTAGAGGGAGCAAACAAGGGGCATCCATGGGCTGCTGCCATTTGTCACACAGAAAAAAGGGGGCTAGGAGTACAAGGGAAGGGAGAGGTAGGGGAGCAATACGTCTCTGATCTTCTTCTATTTCCAAGGCACCTTTCAGTATCTCTTTGGCCTGAGAACCAGCACTGTTTCTCAGGGTCAAAAGAGGATGGACATGTCATCTCGGGCATCTGAGTGGCAGATGCCAAGTGTGTGTACATGGTGTGTATCCACAATGCAATGGAGAAAGGCTATCTTAGAACATTAAACAAAATAATATGGAAATCTAGAGAAAAAGACTCTTCAGTTTTGAATATATCAATCAACATTCTTTATGCCACGATCTAATGAGGATGTAAAAACTACCCTCATACATAATAGCTGATGCGGACCCTATTTGAAATGTGGTGATGATATCCTCACTCACTCAAGAAAACTACTGTGTGCTTGGTATGATGCCAGGCGCACAGGCTGGAAAGTGTACACTCAAGGAGATAGCCAGGCCAAGCAGAGCTGGGACAGAACGGTGTCCCAAATCACCGTGAGGTCCCACAATTACTTATTCCGTGCCTACCTGTGTCTTGCAGAATCAGGAATCAGGAAGGACTTGACAGAGGAGGCAAGATCTTGGAGTGTAAGCAGGAGTTTGCTGGCCAGATACCAGAGAGCAGTAAGGGAGGGAGACTGTTTGCCTCAGGTGGATCCCACAGACTGGAGGGGTGGAGGTGGGAGCAAAATAACTGGACTCTTTGGATGGACGGGTCCCTCCATCATGTCTGGTACAGAGCAGATAGAGACCCACTGAATGACCACCTGGATGAGTAAGTGGCAACCGTCAGGGAACTGAGGACTGTGTGAGCAGCGTGGAGGGTGAGCCGGCAAATGCCACATGCTTTTGTCCTTATCCCATCAAGCTGGTAACAAAATGCCTTACGGTCTCTGGACAGGCTACATTCCACGCTACTGGAAAGGCTGGGCCAGGCTATCTTTAAAGGCATGAAATGGAAGAGAATCTTTCACACAAGGCACCCTTGATGTAAAACCACATGACAACAATTTTTATCCCTTTTATAACTTTACCTTCTTTTTACCTAGTTCTGAGTGTATCTGGTTCCTTTAATGGGCCTCACACGACTCCCTAACTGGGAGAATGTTTCAGTAATAAGACATTCTGATCCTGAGTTCCTCTGTCAATTATGTTTCATACTGTTTACCTCTATGGTATAGATGGACAGAGCCGCACTAAAATGATTTTGGCCTTAACGCATAATTATCTCTAGCTTTCTGCCTTTGTCAAGACATATCCTACAGGCATTCAATTTTCCCTCACAAAGCTTATAAAAGAAGTTGGTCCAGTGACTCTCCAGTGCCCATTCTTTGCACGTGTATTAAGTATAAACACAATAAAATTTGCATAATGACACCTCCACAAATCAGCACCCTGGTCATCAAGTCATTACGGAACTGGCAGAGGTTCCAGGCAGAAAGAGGTTCATCCCCAAGAAGAAACAAAGATCTAAATTCTATTGTCAAATCCACTCAATCAATGCCCTTAGGAAAAGGTAAAAGCTTTCGAGGCAGTTGAGAAAGATTCTTCCATTTGCTAATTATATCAAAGTTTCCAAATGTTGTACACTCAGATGTGTCTCTTGAAAAAAAAAGAAAAAAAAGCCCCAAACCAATAATCTGCGGGTATCACACAGTTTCTCAGCTGCAGAAACTCCTTGGGGATACAGCCTTTCTGTTTCTGTGGCAGCCTCCCCTCAAAGAACAGCTGTTTTAGCTCACAAATAGGACTTTACTACAAACAGGATGCTATTACCATTTATATGAAGCAAATTCTAACTTCACAGTTGGCAGATGTGTCCTTGCGCTGGGGAGCTGTGCCACCTTGAAACAGAGAAGCAGCATCAATTTCTAACCCAGCGCATAATGCTGTCAGATAAGGGGTTTCTAACAGCACATTCCACATCTATCTTAACTTTGGAGTTCTCAAGGAAACAGGACCCTGGGTCCACTTCACAGTTCAGACTGATAGTGATATTGACCCCTCTGCACACAGCCGCACTGTGCTGTGACCCTATCAAAACCTTGTTTTTTAAAAACACCTAACTCCACCCTTCTCCCAAATCCTATGGCTCTATCTTTTCTTTTGTTTGGAGAGACGCCCACACTTCTAGAGTGTGGTCTCCCTTGTTGCTAGGAGTCAGTAAACCTGACTCTGTTGGGCTACAGGTTTGCTCCTGGTGGTCTCAGCTGATGGGGTTAGGATAAAGGGATACATACAGGATTAAGATTTTACTGGGAGAGTAGGAAGGGAGCTGTAGGGTTGGTGAGTGTGAAAGCTGGGCAACTAACACCCCAAGCCCCAAAGCCTGTTTTTTCCTGAGATCCTTAGATTTGAGAAGGAGTTTCAACCGGCATTCGCGTTAAGTGTCCCACAACCTGGACTCGTACGTCAACTTTCAGATCTTGAACCACATGAGCGTGTTCTGTGATTATTAGTGAACATGTTGTGCAGGAAAGGGTTAACTCACCAGGCCTGGGCTGCTCAGTCCCTGCACATTCCAGAGAAAAGCTTGTCTTCCGAACAGGCCCTTCGCCAGGGCTGGAAATAACCTCTGAAACCTTGGGATATTCTGCTGGTGGGAATGTTTTCCTATGTCTTGGGTCACGCTGTGTCAGGTTGACAAGACAGTTTCTGCCAACACTGTGGTTTACGGTCAAGGCCTGTTTTTGTATGCCTGAGTCCTCGGGCCATATGGTTCTAGTTTAACCTCTGGGTGCTAAAGGCTGAGTAGCTAATGTCAGGTGTGTGGGAGCTGCATGCCCACACGATTGAATCCCAGTAAACCCCCTGGACACCAAAGCTCGAGTGAGCTTCTCTGGTTGGCAATACGAGACGTATGTTGTCATACGTCACTGCTGGGAGAATTAAGCGCATCTCTGTATGACTTTCCTGGGAGGGGACACCTGGAAGCTGGCGCCTGGTTTCTTCTGGACTTTGGGCCATGTGCCTTTTCCCCTGCTGATTCTAATCTGTATCTTTTCACTGTAATATTATAACCATGAGATAGCAGCTTTTCTGAATCTTGCAATCCCTTCTTGTGGATCATCAAACCTGATGGTGAGGCCTGAGGTGTTGGGGACCTCTGACCCAGCATCATACTAATGAGTCATCTCATGGTCAGGCTCAAGGTTGGCAGGGTCAGCCGTGTCCCTTAGGCCCACCGCACATTCCTTGCTTGGGGATCTGCAGAGATGCTCATATCCCATACACGAGCTCACCTTTCCCACAGGTCGTCGAGCATTCTGTTGTCCCGAGCTGTTTCCAGTTGTGATCCCGGCTTCGCCGTGGGGGCTGTGGTGCTGGTGGCACCAAATTGTCTGGATGGTGGGAAGAAAATCTGTCTGGATGCCTGACCGGGAAGGGCTGTGCTGCTTCTGAGGTGAATATTTCAGGTGCCGCACCGTGCAGGTCTTCCTTCTCCTCATTCCTCTCTTTCTCTTCTCCCTCCTCCGCGCTCCTTCCTTCTGTGACCAGCTGGCCATTGAAGGGCTCCCCTAGCAGAGGCAAGAGCACACACGCACAGAAGTAAGACCGGACATTGAGTAGCACAGAGGAAATTGCTTCAACACTAGAAATTAGGCAGCATGAGATCATTTCTAATTCATAGCACACATATTTAACATAAGCAGATACTAATTTCCCTAATATTCAAAACATTATTAAAAATGGATAAGAAAAAGATGAACATCCCAGTAGGAAAAGTAGGCAACAGCCAATGGAGAGGAAATTCACATAAAAAGAAATACAGGCAGCCAAAAGTCATTTAAAAACGCTCAACTTCACTCATAATTTAAAAATTACATGTGAAAACAAGAACAACAGTGACAGCTCTATCTACCTAAGAATAAAGATTAGAAACTTTGGAAACCCTTAAATCCCAAACCCCTTGTTGAGGGTGTAGGAAAACACCTCATACACTCTAGGTGAGCCTGCAAATAGACACAAATTTTGGGAGAGCAATTTGGCAATATCTATCCAAATTTTAAATGCACGTGCCTTTTGACCCAGTGATTCACTTTCTAGGATATTCGTTGTATAAATGTTCCCATTCTTTCATATAAAGCTGTATGCACAAGTAGGGTTACTAAAGCATTATTTGAAATAGCAAACAGTAGAATGGACTTAAATGGCCACTAATGGTGCTGGTTAAAATAAATTATGTTACAACCACGAATGAGATACTATGTTATTTTTTAAAAGAATGAAGCAAATACATGTTGTGACATGGAGACAGACTCTGATATGTTGTCTGCTGAAACAACAAAAGCATAGTAGAATCCAGTTTGTGTACACACACACTCACACACAGATGTGGCAGGACACCTTTCGAGAGATTCATTTGTGTTTTGTTCTTTATCTTTGTTCCTCCTCCTCCCCTAGTCCAAGCCGCCAAGCCCTTAGATTTTCTTGCCTGGGGTTTTTGCAGGAGAGAAAGCAAGAGCTGCTGGAAGTCAGCACTCTTCCTTCTCACAGCGGAGGCCTGAGCTTTCAGTGAGGATGACGGTTCCAGAGGCGCCAGCAAGGGGAAGGAGGGAGGAAGATGCAGGCGGGAAAAGTGGAAAGTGCTTTTTGAGAGATGGTTCCAAGGTGGAGAGAGGCAGGAGTCTGAGGTCTTGGGTTTCCGGAGCACCACAGATTCTTAGCAGCGCCAGGCAGGGATCTTTACTCATATCTGGAGTGTATGGGAGGAGCCCCCATATTGACTGAGGTTGAATTTTCTACCACTTTCAAAGAAGTTTCAGGTTGAGGTTAGATTTAAGTTGACTTATGGAAAAGAATGACATGTCATGTTCCTTGTACACTTAGATTGTAGACAAGGATTCAAATTGGTTGTGAGCATCTTTGTAAATGCATAGAAAAGGGCCAGCAGAATGCCACCAAATCGTTAAGAGAGATTCCCTCTGGGAAGAGGTGAAGGGGATGAAGTTGGGGGACACTGCTTTTTTTAAATTGACTTTATTATTTTTCTTAGAGCACTTTTAGGTTCACAGCAAAATTGAGTGGGGAGTATAGAGAGTTCCCACATCTCCCAGCCCCCGCCCCTGCCCCCGCTTCGCCCACTATCAATGTTCCCCACCGAGCGGTGCACTTCTTATAAACGATGAGCCTGCGCTGACACACCCTTATCACCCGGAGTCCATAGTTTACGTTAGGGTTCACTCTTGGTGATGTACGTTCTATCAGTTTTGAAAAATGTATAACCACAAGTGTCTACTGTTATTAAATCACACAGAATGGTCCACTGCCCTGTGCTCTGCCTGTTCATCCCTCCCTCGCTCCCGGCCCCTCACAACCACTGATCTTTTTGTTGTCTCCACAGTTTTGCCTTTTCCAGGATGTAATATGGTTGGAATCCTACAGTATGTAGCCTTGTCAGATGGGCTTCTTTCACCTAGTCATATGCATTTAAGGTTCCTCCATGTCTTTTTGTGGCTTGTTAGCTCATTTCTTTTTGGCACTGAATAACATTCCACTGTCTGGATGCACCCAGTGTATTCATCCATTCACCTACTGAAGGACATCTTGGCTGCTTCCACGTCTTGGCAATTACAGGCAAGTTGCTTTTTACTTTATCTATTTCTATTTTGATTGAAGAATGCTCAGGTATGTATCATTTTAATACACAATAAGGAGGAAAATTCTAGAGTTGCTGTAGAACACAATTAAAATGTAGGGCTTTCTCCACCCTTTCACCAGTGCTTTCCTATTTAGCTGGCTAATTATAATACATCATGGTTTAAAATATTATACGCAAATCAGGCCAACAGTATCAAGACCAGGCATACCAACATAAAGGAGACCGCCCAAGATGTTAGTAGGCAAAAACATTTTTAAATCTTTTGAATACCTTGTATGTATTGGGCACTGTGCTGGATGGACACCTAATTTATTCAATACCCTCCCCTTCCCAAATAAAACAATTGAGTGTAGGTTTTTTTCCTCTCTATTTTGTAGACTGAGAATGTGTTCAGACAAGTTACTGACTTGCCTGAGGATGCACAGCAAGAAAGTGGCAGAGTTGGATTCAAGCTCTGGCCTCTTGACTCTGTTGATATGGAGGATGAAGCCTGGTCCAGAATGCCCTTCCGCACGAACTTTTTACAAGTGATCCCTTCTGGGCCTGCCCCATCCCAGGCAGCCAATCCCAGAACTCCACGCTACCTGTTAGCTGAGACCCACTGGGCTCGTCATCAATCATCATCACTCTGTTTGATTTCAAATAATCTGCCTGGTTGCCCCTATAAATCAGCAACAGACTTCAGTAATCCCAATATTTTGCCATCTGAACTTAGTTTCTAATGTTGTGCATTGCTCTTGGAAATGGCTTAAAAATTCTTTCAGCCTGAGTGTGCTGACTTGGAGTGTGGCCAATACACACATTCCACGTGCTGGGCACACCCCAGGCTGTTGACTCCAGGCAGCCAACTGTCCCCAACCCATGACAATCAGATGACCTGGTTATCCAATCAACAGCCCAGAGAAGGATGGACAGGACTTGCATCTGTCCCCTCACTTCCTGGGACAGGCATTGGACCAAGTAGCCTCCAGGGAGTATAACAAGCACAGGGCCTAGTCACACAGGCTGGCCTGAGGTCACGGTGGGACCCGGGCAAGTAACTTAACCTCTCTAAGCTGCCATTTCCTTACTCTGAAAATGAGGCCAATATGAATACCTCCCTCAGAGCACTGCTGTGAGAATTCCATGAGTAAATTTATGAAAAGGACTCGGCAGTGTCTGGCACAAGCAAGGGCTCAGTGCGTGTGAGCGATTATCATTAATATTTCTGCAGACCTTCCTGATCGAAAGACGGAAAGACAGTCTGCATTTGGGTGGTGGGCTCCATCATCATTTGGTAAAGAAACGTCTGCAGAGCCAGAGTGCCGGGCCACCCCCAGCAGCAGCCGAGCGAGAGCTGCCTGCTCTGGGTACCAGCAGAGCCCACGGCGAAGAGGCAGGTTGTCAGGTGTGACTCTTTTCTTACAGGTCAAAGTAGTGTTAATAGGAGCAAAAGGGGAGCAAGAGAAAAGGCGAGTGGCAGACAGAATAATAGCCCCCTGAAGACGCCTGTGTCCAAACCCCTGGACCCTGCAACGTGTTCCCTTATATGGCAGAAGGGATTTTGCAGTTGTGATTAAGTTAAAGATTTTGAGATGGAGAGACTTTCCTGGATTATCTGGCTGGGCTCAATGTTATATAAGGGTCCTTGTAAGAAAGACGCAGGAGGGTGAGAGTCAGAGAAGATGTGATGACAGAAGAGGGTCAGAGTCAGAGAGAGACTTGCAGGTGTCACTCAGCTTGCTTTGAAGATGGAGGAAGGGGCCATGAACCAGGGCATGCAGGCGGCCTCTTGATGCTCAAAAAGGTCAGAAACAGCTTCTCTCCTAGAGCCTCTAGAGGAGCATGGCCCACCAATGCCTTGATTTTGGCCCAGCAAAACCCATTTTGGACTTCTGACCTCCAGAACTGTAAGACAGTAAATTTGAGTTGTTTTGTGCTACTAAATTTGCAGTAATTTGGTACAGCTGCAATAGGAGACTAATATAAGGCATTTCAAAATGATGAACTAGAAAGAGAGACCCAGGATGTTCACCTCATTTTTGAATCAAGTGAATGAAACACTCTTATCAGTGAAGGTCCAGACAGATGGTGAAGCATCCTCTGGTCTCCAGGCCCACTGACTCTAAAGTATGCGTCCATGGGTTTTCTCTGTGTTGACTGAGAGACAGAGGGGAGATGCACAAGAAGAGGGGAGAGGGGGCTTTAAAAGGAAATGACACGAGTACTTGGCAGCAAAAGAGGATTTTACCTGGTCTCCTGTGAGGTGGCACCTGTGGGCTGATGGCGTTGGTCCCCATGATAACGTACTCGTAGTGGACTCCTGGGTTAGGCTGCTGGTGTATCATCTGACAACACAAAGGTCACGGTCACTGCACTAGCACGCATGCACAGCTCTTTCCTGCTGGCTCTGGTTTCAATGGTATACATGGCACTATCTATAAATGAGTGGGTTTGACTCATGTCCTAATAGTAGTCCCGTGACAGATTAGATGAAAGCTATTTCTAGATGGCTTTTCCTTATTTGCTTTTGAAGAATGAGGAACTTAGCCTTTGAAAGACTCAGCAGACAACTAGTCTGGAAGTCAAGATTTCATATATTCCAAATAGGAAGATAAGAGCAGTGGTACCAGAACCTTTCTGTTGGTTCGCAACCATCCCCTCCCATGGCTTAGATTTTGCTCAGTGCTCTCAAAACGTCCCAGATTCCTGTTTACACTACTGAGAACCCGTCTGAACACTAGGTGGCGAGATAGAGTCATGCAGAACCAGCCCAGGATTCTTTAGGCTCCTCCCACCAGGCTGGCTCAGGGAAGGTGTGCCCTGGCCTGCCCCCTCCCTGACTCCCTGGGTCCCATCCCTCTCATCCATGGAAAGCTCCAGAACGACAAAGAGGTGGGGTGAGGAAAGTCGGTATAAGGGAAGTAAGTCTCCTTGGGTCCTACTCTCTCAGGGACCGATGACAAAAACTGCACAGCACTGTGCAAGCCAGCAAGTGAGCACTGGGACCTGAACACAAAATAAATCAGCCTGGTACAGCGGAGTAAGTCTCTCCCTCTTGGTTCTGGAGCACAAAATCCTTTGTTCCAGGGCTTTCATGGTGGGAAGTGGGGTGGTGGGCTAAATGGAGCAGCAGAATGAGAATCTGCAGTTAAATATGAGCCAGGCAAGGAGACACTGTCACGTTGCATATCTCTGTCTCTACTGCTTTATAAGGGGCTCTCCTGGTGGCTAGCTGTGTAACCTGGAGCAAGTCCCTTCATCTCACAGTTTTTGATTTCTTCATCTGGAGAAGGAGGAGGTTAGAATCACAGCTGATCTCTTAGGTCCTTTGGACTACAAGTGTCTCTGAGTCACTCCTGCACAGGTGGGTCCTGTTTGGTTCATGAGCGCGTCTATTCTTTCCACTGACACCATCATCTCTTACTCCCTCCCTGCTTGGGAAATGGGGCTTCCATTCTATAAATCACCTGATGGAACGCAGACATGAGAACCACTGGGCTCCTTACAGCCAGAACTGTCATGCCCTCAAGGGACGTGGTGGTGTGACCTCAGGGTCCCACTTTCTACCCCAACCCTCTCACTTCTCTTTTCACACAATCTGACAGTCGGTCTGAGGCTGGAAACCCTCTCTCCCTCTTCTGTGCCTCTTCTGCACAAGCATTCTGCCAGTGCAAACCTTGTCCAATTATTTATGAAATTATTGTTGGCCACCACATCCTAGACCACCCACGTGGGCCTTAACAACCTGGGTTTTTACTCCCGATGCCATTTGAAACTTACCCTGAGTCCAGCAACCAACTGGACAGTCTAAAAAAAATATTCAAAATTATAACAAGGCTTGCTTTATAGTTTTTAGTCCACGAGCCACAAGGCCCAAGAGGAATGAACAGTTAATATTTACAATATTTATAAAACTCTAACATAGCAAATATCATGTAGACTAGCGTGGCTTTGGAGATGGTAAGAGAATGTACATCTATGGCTGAGCTCATTCTTTTTATCAATACGTGATTTCGAGCTTTTATTTCTTGTCAACTTTTGTTTCCTGAACTTTTTAAGAAGACTGGATTCTAGTTGTTTCTTTTAAAAATAAGGACCATTTTTAACTCATGGGCAATTTAGTTTCTCGTCAAATAAATCAAAGTTCTGTCTTCTGTGAAGCAGGGAACTTCTAGTAAATCTCTGTATTGGTTCTGTGTCATCTGGAGTACTCTGGAGCTCTAGTTTCTTCATTTGCTTTAATAGAATTTGAAGAGAGCTGGGAACTGCAGTGGTCTTGTCTTGCTTTAGGCAGATGCTTTCTTTTGCCATAAAAAGAAAACATGCCAAATTAGCATTAGGAGGAAAGTGCTTGGAGGAGATCCAGTGCTCATGAAATAAAGGATATGTTTTGCCTCTGATTTGGTTCAACAAGTAAAATTGGTTTTACTGAGTCAATAAACTCTGAGTATAATAAGCATCTGGTAGAGTTTTCTATGAGCCAGGTACATTTGGAGGTGAATGGCAAAGACGAACACCAAGCATTTAAGGGCCCCTCAAAAGGCTCACTCAAATGGTTTTACTGAGGATGGGCAATGATGTGTCGCTTATTTGTTCTAAGTGTGGCCCTTAGAAGCAACAAGATAGAAAATCCAGAGAACAGTCCAGAAACATCCAAACTCACATAGACATCCAAGATCTCATTAGTGGGACCTTCGGCCAAAAAGGACTCTCCAGCAGTGCTCGAGATCTCATTTGGACGCTTGTAGGTGAACATCGTTCCTCCACCCTCATATTTTCCAGGCCGGTCAATTGCCCAGTTCCCGTTGATGATGGAGCGGCCAGAACGACTTCGCAAGGCTGTTGAGAAAAATGAGACAGTGGCTTGGGTAAGCCCTGAGTGTACACAAGAAATGGAACTGCTCCCCCCCCCGCCACCCCAGGTGCAGGCTTATTCATTCATCACATTTCTGGTTAGGATCCACTACGTGCCAGGGACTGGTCTACGCCCTGGGGCAGGACAAGGCATCTAGATCACATCTCTTTGAGCTTAATCACTTCTTCAACCCACTTCAATACCTTTCACCATTTGGGCTTAGTAGAGAAATGAAGGATGGGAGTGGTTAGGAGAGAAGAAAAGTGGAAAACCAGGGAGAAAGGAGAAAGTTGAGGAGGCAGATAAGAGGGAGAGGGAAGGGAAACTGTTGTGTTCCATTATCTAGGTGAGAGCTTGCATACTGGCAGTTCATGAGCTGGTTTTGGCCCACAGATGGGCTTAGTTTGGCCTTTGTAGTATTTTTTTAAAAAAATAATTGAACCTAAATTCAAGAATTGGGAATTTTCACAAAAAAATTTAGAGTTCTATCTTCTCTTGTAAAACAAGAAGACATGTTAACATTGGCTCCATTCCCTCAAGACAGCAATCAGTTGGAGCTGTTGGGGGAATGTCCCTTTTTAGATGCGGCCTGCAAGCCCTGTTTTGCCCTAATCCCCATCACTCCCTATTACCCCCCAACACTGAGGCTAAGTCTTTCTTTATTAGCCATTGATTGATGAATATGGATTATTTAGTTCATTTATGACCATGCTTGCACTGTTATTTTTCTTATGGAATAAATTTTTTCTTACAATTCTTCCTATGTGTATGTCTACTACAAGTGGCAAAGCTAAAGATAGGCCAAGAGCATCACATGATTTTCTCCTACCTGGTCACCTTCATTTATTTATATTACCTTCCTGATTTCTGTGGGCTTTTGAGGCTGTTATGTTAAATACTTCCACATACACTGTCAAAATTAGTCCTCACAACATTGCTAAGCAGATGCCTATTCCCATCTTTCAGAGAGTGGTTTAGGGGCCAGAGGGAGCTTGTTCAAGTTCATGAAGACGGTAAGTGACAGAACTATGATTTGGAGTCCACTCTCAGGAGCGAGGTAAGAAAGGAGGAGGGGCAAGGAGTCAGAGTTAATGAGAGAAGAAAGGACAGCATGTGAGAGATGATTTTCTTCCCTTAGACATGTGGCACTTTGAAACCCACAAGCCAATGGCAGGCTGGGTTTAAAGGAGATCCTGTTGTAAGCGCCATGTGCATAGTGGGCCTGTGATGATCACTGGCTCTTTGTGCTTTCACTTAAGAGAGTTTCTAAATTTAATTTTTTATAATGCATCATGGAAAAATGTATACATAAATAAGAGTAGTGATAACATTATAATAAACCTCTATGTACCCATCACCCAGCTTCAACAATTATCAACTCATGGCTTATCTTGTTTCACTGTGAAAATCCCAGGCCCTATTTAGCTTTACATTTTTCAGGAGATGTCTCTAAAACATAAGGACTTTTTGTTTCTTAAACCCATTTCCAGCATTGTTTCTACAATGGAGTCAGAAGCTGCTCGAAGGGGTAGAAGAGCCTTCAATTTCGAGGCTGGCCTCCCTGCAGACTCTATGCCTGCTTCGCTGGTTGCCATGGCTTCCACAGCTGGGAGACCACAGCTGTGGAAGAGTGACTACACAATTATAAAATCAATTCAAATTATTGAGTGGCAAAGATGGGTCAAGAGTAGAAGAACTGAGAAGAACAGGTTTGGGGCTGTTTTCTATCAAAAACCACACTTCTTGACAGTGGTCCCTACAGTGTCACCATTTCCTCACTTCTCCTTCATGTCTCAGCCATCTCCCATCTGACTCCTGCCCCTATCATTCCATTGAAACAATTCAAATTAATGTCACCAACACCTTCATGGTGCTAAATCCAATGGGCATTTCCCAGGCCTCCTCTTACTAGACGTCTCAGCAGCATTTGGCACTACTGACCACTCCATCTTATTTGAGACATTCCTTCACTGGTTTCTGGGACACCACACTCGGCTTGCTTCCTCCTGTTCTCGGGCTGCTCATCTGTTCTTTCTTTTCTGTCTCATCTTTCTCTATTTGGCCATTCAATATTAGTGTTCCTTAAGGATTAAGAGTAGACCCGCTTTGGGTGCTGTACTCCTTTCATAAGCAATTTGATCTATGACCATGACTTTAACTACTATATTCCAGTGACTTCCAAATTTATGTTTCCATTTCAGACTTTTCCTTTGGTCCCAGACTTTTATATCTAATTGCTTACTTGACAGCTTCACTCAGATATGTTGTCTAAGATTGAACTCATCCTTGACCTCTTCCAGTTTCTAATTTCAGCAAATGGCACCACCATCCATCTAATTAGAAACCTAGGAATCATCCTGGACACCTCCTCCCTTCCTTATCCCCTATATCTAATTTATCATCACATTTTATTTGACTTTCTCCATATTTCTTGAACCTACCTGCTTCTCTTCATGTCCACTGCCTTAATCCAGGGTCAAGCTACCAGCAAATCTCATCTGGATTCACTCAAAAACCCTACTATTGGTCTTCCTCTTTCCCTTTTCAGCCTGAGTTATCTTTTCAGATTTGATCACCAACTAGAGCTCAAAATCCTTCAATGGCTTTCTATGTCTCTAAGAGAAAAAACTCCACATCATTAGTGGGGCCAAGGCCCCAGGTGACATAATTCAGCCTCACCCTAAGTCACTGTCCTTCTCTCTGTGCTCTGTTCCTTGGCCTTCTTTTAGCTCATCTCATACATCGCAGTCCCTCCACCATGCTGTTCCTTTTTCCAGAAATGCTCCCCCAACCCCAAATCCTAATCGTTCTTTAGACAACAGCTCCTCGGGGCGGTCTTCTCCCACCCCCATTCCCGCCTGTCTCTTCCCTCACATGCTCTCAGAGATACAAGAGCCTCTCCTTCAAGGTACTAACTCTGTCTGTACACAGCCCCATTGGGAGCATGATCTGATTGAGGTGTGTCTCCCACTGCACCGGAGGCTCCCAAAGGGCAAAGACACTGGTGTTTCCTCACCCTTATGGCACAGGTGCCCAGCCTAGTGTTCACCACACAGTAGGAACTTAATGTTTGCTGAATGCAGAAATAGGTAGGAGAAATAGGCAAGCAGCTCAAAAGAAAGATAGGCAAAGAATGATAAACAGGCAATTCACAGACAACCAAGTATGAGTATTCTATAAGTCAATGAAAAGATACTCTACCTTACTTAGGATTTAAGAAATGCAAATCAAAACCACCATGGGATGTTCTTGACCCATTAGATTGTCAAACATTTAAAAAAATGTGATAACTGCCAGTATTGACAGATTTGTGAGAAAGCAAGCACCCATAACATTGTTGGTGGGAATGTAAACCAATTAAACCATATTGGAGAGCAATTTTGTTACATTGTTAAAACTTTAAGTGCCCATATACTTGACTCAAGAATTCTACTTTTAGGAAACTACTTGGAGGACATACTTCTCTACATATATAGAAGTGTTTGTAACAAGGACATTCTCTGGAGAACTTTTTTTAAATAGAGAAAAACTAAAAACAAACTAAATGGGGGCCAGCCCCATGAGGGAGTGGTTAAGTGCACGTGCTCAGCTTTGGCGGCCTAGGGTTTTGTTGGTTCAGATCCTGGGTGCTGAGGTGGCGTCGCACATAGCACAACCAGAAGGACTGACAACTAGAATATATAACTATGTACGGGGGGGGGGGGGTGGGGGGGAGGGGGGGCGCTTTGGGAGAAGAAGAAGAAGAAAAAGAAGAAGAAAAAAGGAAGATTGGCAACAGATGTTAGCTCAGGTGCCAATCTTTAAAAAAAAAAAGCAAACCACAACCTAAATGTCCATTAGTAGAGGATTGCTTAAGTGATTTTTCATACTGGATATCCATGCAATGGGGAAACCATGTGGCCTTAAAAACAATGGGATAGGACTGTGTGTGTGGGTATGGGAAGAACTCCATGATACATTTTTAAATGAAACAAAAATGCAGAACAGTAGTGTTTGGTATGATCTCATTTGTGCATACTTTTAAACAAAAGCATATACATAAAACATGTAGGCACGTGCAGAAAACTTTTTAGAGAAAGACAGCCATAAAACTGTTAACATTTGGGGACAAGAACTGGGGGTTTAGGTTGGGATGGGAGATGAGAAGGGAGATATTTATTTCCCATTTTATGTCTTTTTACCATGATTTAAAATTTGTTTTACCATATGCACAAATTACTTTCTTTAAAGTTTTAAAATTTTTAATTACTATAAATGTCATGGTACAAGCAGATATCCCTGAAGGATATATGTATTTTCCCCTTTCTATATCTTCTCCTAAAATCTCATTCAGAGCATCAAGAGCTCAGAATTGAGGTACGTTCTGGCTAAAGTTTTATTGCTCTTAATGGCAATTTTGTAGAAGAGATTATTATCTGGAAACCAAAAAGTCCATAAAAGAGCCCTTTGGAATACTGCATAGCAGAGAGCTGCAGGGGCCTCCCAGGAAATAGAACCTTGGGGCCCTGCCTCTTTTTACCATCCACTGCTGTTACCCACGCACCCCATCTAAAGGTTTGGGTGAATCTTTAACTGGATAATAGCAAAGCATAAAAAGAAGCCATATCAGATCTTTGGCAGACATGGTCCTTACTCCATGTGCCCATGAGTTAGCCTCTGAAACAGCTCTGAAACTAGCCCCCACCTGGCCTTGCATATCAAAAACAGTTGCATCTACAATTTATGTGCCTGTAAGCAATTCCACGGCTATTAATGGTGTCCAGAACTACCCCACAAAAAGGTGCAGGTGACTCATGGCTCTTGCTAGTGGGTGTGTTCACTGAACGTCAAGCTTGGGCAAAGCCTGTTTGCAAGGCAACCTCACTGCTGTGTCAATATGAGGAAATCTCTACTCTCATTTGACATCTGGGTTTTATTCCAGTTTTAGTTGTCAATACTGAACACATGTATTTGGCCTAAACTATCTGCACCAACGATGCCCTTC